TTGTAAATCATATGTAAATTCTAGTTATGCTTTGTGTCTTTAAAAAATGCTTTACATTTTTAAAAATGCTGCCTTTTATTTCAGGCTCCACGCGCCAAGATGAACCAGCAGAGGTCCCGAAGATTTAGGGCTTCCAAAGAAACATCGTAAGTATTGAAAGTATTCTAGATATATGTGTATTGTTGTCTTAACATCCAAGAAGAAACATATATATTGAAATTGTACTAGATATGTATGTATTGTTGTCTTTACATCCATGAAACAACATATTTAGTGAATGTGTTCTAGATATGTGTGTATTTTTGTCTTTACATCCAAGAAACAACATATGTATTGAAATTCTAGATGTATGTATCATGCAAATATTTAAAACTGAGCGAGAAGTAGATCAGCGAGCTTTGCAATATAAAACACAAACTGAAAGTGAATGTTGCGGCTACAGAGCCTTCATCAGCACATTAAAAAAATCAATAAAACCACATGTACAGACACAAATAAACTAAGTCATGTAACTGACATACTCCTGATAGCAGCCACATTGTTGTCCGGCCAGTAGGATGACCGGCGCATGTGGCTGCCAAGATTAAGTAACGTGAGAATGCCAAGGCCGCTATTCAAAGATATTTGGTGAATCTGTGTTACTGCCTAGTCCTTAGATATATTTGAGGCCATGGTAAAAATAGAAGGTTTTTTGAGAGATGTGCAGACTCTTGTCATCAGAGTGGCTAGATTTAATGGCTGTCACCTCCGTATCGTGGACACCCTGGTGTTCCTGGAATTTAAATGAGAATCAGAAATGACGATACCAGGAAAGCGGACAAAACCAGTACTAAACTACATCAAGAGACAACAGATCAATTGGTTTTGACTCCCCGTGTGGGTTCCGGTGTCCTATTGTAGGGAAAACAAGAATAGACTCACAGTCAAAAGCACATCATAAGAGTAAACTAATTGGAAGCTTCTTTCAGAGTCGACGTGCATCTCTCTGAGAGGCAAGGAACCAACAGTCTGCATACATATGAGCCAGATCTGTGAAATAGATGCACACATAACACTTATGTTCTGGAACAGGAATACAGTCCAGATGTGGATGAACAACCAAAACTTTTCGCCAGCTGGTAAATGCGAAGAAGAAGAAGTGAAATATGGCCAGACTGTCACCACAGAGAGCCTTTCACTTAGGCATAATGGAAGCAGAGCTAGAGGTCATCGGATAGAGGGATATATCAGAGCCTTAAATATCAGCACATAGAAGGAAAACTCTGATTTCAAACCACGGGCAGATGAGGCTCGCCAGCACGGGAGTGCAGCTCATCTAGGAGAAGGTAAACTCTGACTACACACTTCCACTGCCTTGTGGCCATACCCATGTTTGGGAAAGTGCTTCGGGAGTAAACCCTGAGGAAAAATCCGAAGCTGGAATCCCTAAGGCGGTTTAGCATTGTATACAGTGCTATTCCGGCAATTCCTGCAACGTCCTCGGTGCCAACTTGTACTGGTTTTTGCCTTTCCCTTGGTATCACCGGCGACGTAGAGGGGGGTACTTGCTGCCTGGGCAACAGTCTGTACTCCAAATCAAAACTCCCTGGCCTGTGCCCTAGAGAGGTCATTCCAGCGATGCTTAACAGTTTCGACACAACACGGGAAACAGCAGTCACCGGTTATAAGCCTTTGCTCAATTGGCGTAGAGCTAGGCGCCAGGGGTTGTTTCCGACGGTGGGAGAGACCATCGTAGTCTCATTGGACAGCTACCGCCCGCCTCAGCTGGGCAGCCCCCAGTCAGTAAGGTGTTGTCCCGCCACGATCCGTTTGCCTTGTTGGGTGCACAGGGCTTAGGGGATAACCCGACACACGGATTGTAATCCTTGTACCTACACAAAGAAGCCAAAAAATCATATTCCCAGCTCTAAAGCTGGGCACATGGAACGTGAGGACCATGACACCTGGCATTCTGGACGATCTGCAGCATATGAGCGATGTAAGGAAAACTGCAGTCATTAACAATGAACTGTCCCGATTGAACGTAGACATTGTTGCCCTACAGGAAACCCGGCTCTCCTCCTCAGGTAGCATCAAAGAAAAGGACTTCACATTCTTCTGGCAGGGAAAACCATCTTCGGAGCCCATGGAACAAGGCGTAGGCTTTGCGATTAGGAACCGATTGGTCGGAACTGCCACACCACCTACAGGAGGATCAGAAAGGATCCTTAAAATTCAGGTCCAGACAAGAGCTGGACCAGTCACTCTGATAAGTGCCTATGCACCAACCCTGCCCTCTTCTCCCGACTCCAAGGACAAATTTTACGAGGAACTCAGTTCCACACTCAGCGAAGTCCCGGACAGGGAAGCCCTATTCATTTTGGGTGACTTTAATGCAAGAGTGGGCGCTGCGCACAGCTCATGGCCATCCTGTATGGGACATTTTGGAGTAGGAAAAATGAATGAAAATGGACAGAGGCTGCTTGTACCAAACAATAGTGTGTATGACCATCAGCTTCTGGCTGTAAATGAGTTTGAGTACCTAGGCTCACGTATCTCAAGCAATCATTCTCTGGATGCAGAACTAAACAAACGTATAGGAAAGGCCTCTGCTATGTTTGCAAATCTCACAAAGAGAGTCTGGTCAAACAAAAAGCTAACTGATAATACAAAAATGTTTATGAGTCTTGTGTCCTGAGCACATTACTGTACGGCTGCGAATCCTGGATTTTCTATGCTCCACATTAAAAAAGACTGAATACCTTCCATATGCGCTATCTGAGACGCATCCTTGGTATATTATGGCGAGACCTTGTCTCCAACGAATGTGTGCTCACAAGAGCAAAAATACCATCAATGTATTGACTTGTATACTGAAGCAAAGACGTCTGCGCTGGCTGGGACATGTCTCCTGCATGGAGGATGGTCATATTCCAAAAGATCTCCTATATGGTGAATTGGTAACTGGGAATAGACCTACAGGAAGGCCAAAGCTGCGCTATAAAGATGTATGCAAAGGTGACCTAATAGATACCAACATAGGCACAGAGACATGGGAAAAATCAGCTGCAGATCGACTATTATGGAGACAGAAAGTGAAAGAAACCGAACACAACGAGCTGTGAAGAGGAGACACCAGAGAGTAAAACTGCCTCACAACGAGGGAGTATCTGCTTTTGTGTGTATCCTGTGTGGCAAAGACTGCCATTCCCGCATCGGACTTTACAGTCACAGCAGATGCTGTTCCCAAAGCCAGCAGCACATCTCCATAGTCCCCTGGGACTGACGGATGCTACTGATGAAATATCAGCATCTGCATAGCACATACCAAGGCTCTCACCCAATGCCTTTAAAAAAAGCCTGATGCTGAAAGGCAGAACAGGACTAAAGAAGAAGATGAAAATGAAAAAATAAAGTTAGTCTTTTACGCAGTCCAGATCATTGTATAATAAAGTGAAGTGACCAGTTTTCTTCCTCGCCACCTTTCCTTCCACTATTCTCTGGAATTCCTGGAAATTATCTAGTATCCAGTTTTTTATTTATTCTGGGTATTGTGCTCAGATTACTTTCTTATTAACTCTTTGGGCCCCAGAAGCTTTCACAAAAATATCTTTATTATTAAACATTAATTAACCTTGCCACCTGTCCTTCCTAGCCAGTTTTGGGGAAATACTGAAGATGATCTTGTATCCAGTTTTGTTGTTGTTTGAATTTCTTTCTGGGTTTTGAGCACAGTTTACTTTCTTATCAGCTCTTTGGGTCCCAGAAGCCTTCATAAAGACATTTTAATCATTAAATTGTCCCACGAAACCCACGGCTGCCCCACAGTTGTAGGAATGTCAGAAAAATAAGGTGTCGGCAGATATCTTTAGTATGTGCTGACCAAATTTTTAAGTAGGCATTTGGTGAGAGGTTTGGGGGGCACGCTAACAACAGCCAATGAGGCATTACTCATTTCTTCTGTGCTAGATAATTCATAGCTTGTATTGTTTGTTTAAAGTTATTTGCCAGTTATTTCTTGAAATGTAAATTTTTTTCAGGGAGAAAATTGATGACTTAGCACGAGTGCGAGAGGAAGTTCTAAGCAGAGGAATGTATCTGCCACCAGAAAAGCCAAAGGAAGAACATTTTGATAGCAACTGTATCACCCCAGTAAGTCTCTTTTAAGGGCTTTTTCTAGGATTTTATAAATTCTTGACCTTTTGAAGCCCACATGCTAATAGTTTTTTTCTAGAAATTTGTCACTTGTAGCGGAAAAAAAAAAGTTGCCTCAAAGGCTAGGTTTGCAAGACTGGCACTCTAACTTAGTATAAGCAGCTTTCGATGCAGACATGCCATGATTGTAACAGACTTGCAAAATATGCAGAGAAATGAGGAGAAAATTACCTTCCGTGCTCATCAGTTTAACAAGATCTTACTTATTTATATACAGACTTTTGATTCGTTTGCCTGTCAGACAGATGTGCTGCGACTTGTAAGGAAAAGTCCCTAGTCACCTTGTGGGTTTATCCCCCCCCCCCCACCCCCCACCCCTTCCCAAATTGTTTCAGAACTCGCATGGAACAAATCTAATACTACTACTACACCTCTCCGCAGTTATCCTAAAAACATTTTCACCTGGGAGCTGGCCAGCCTAGACAGGATTGACATTTTCTTCTAACTTAGAGTGCATCTACCTGAGAAGTAACGAAACAGCAGTCTGCAAAGTCCAGAAGTGGATGAACAACCACAACTTTCTGCCAGAGATTACAGCTGGTGAATGTGAAAAAAGAAAGAAGAAGATTGTCAACAGAAGTCCTCATGATGCCTGATGGGAAATTTGAATATTGTTAAGTCTTTGCTTTCACACAGTATAGATATTTTAGTGGTCTATGTGTTTTGATAACTGCAGTTCTTCTATTTCTCAAACAGGGTACACCATTCATGTTCAAGCTTGCAGAGTGCTTGCGGTATTATGTTCATGACCGCATCAACAATGACCCAGGATGGAAGAATCTCAAAGTCATACTCTCAGATGCCAATGTGCCAGGAGAAGGAGAACACAAAATCATGGATTACATTCGTCGGCAGCGAGGTATACACAAACAATGCTTTCATTTTCTGAATTTTAAATGTTAATAGTTAGTTAGTTAATCGACAGATTATCCTGATTGCAAATCGGACAAGTCCATACGCGCTCGGATCCCATCTTCAGTATATTCCTCACCGTGTGGTGACTGATAACATCAGTTCTGTGTTGGTTTAGCATTCTTCTTTGGCTACCTGTATAGTGTTCATGTTTGGTAACCCCTCTTTTGACCTGAAGTTCTTATAATCTTTTGAGTGTGGCTAATTCATCATCATCTGCTGAATCATCTTTTTGTCCTGTTTCCTTGAGAGCTGAGAGCATTAAGAATGTTGGGCCAATCTATTGCTTTTCCAATACCTACCGTGACCTTGCCAGCAAGCAATCTGCTCGTTAATTCCCTCTTGCCCTATTAAAATACAAATTTTAATGCTTGTGCTTAAGAGGAGTTGTCTCCAAACTAATGGCTTTTGATAAGGTTGCAAAAAATACACATGGTCAGTGAATCATTGACTTGCTAATTCACTCATTGACCGACTTATTCATTGATTCATTATGTCGCTAATAGACTGTTCAATGACGTTTTTTGTCTTAGTCATTTGCTCACTTTCTTTCTTTTATATTCTTTCTCTTGCTAATATGGATTCTATCTCGCTTTTTCTTACTGTTCATCTGCCTGTCTGATTTGCAGCCTCTTTTCAGATTTGCAAACTTTTTTTTTTTTAAAAATATATCCATTTCTGTCATTGCTATTTATTATATTATGCATAACATGCAAATACTTTTTTGAACTAGACAGTTCTATTCAGTATTAGAAATGCTAACCATAAATGTATTATTTTGTTGTTTCTAGCTCAACCTGACCATGACCCTAACACCCAACACTGCCTGTGTGGAGCAGACGGTGAGTTTTGATTGGTGTTTAACCTAGATATCTAACCTGACAGACACCCTATGGATCATGCTGATGTTAATGCCCTCTGAGAAATGAAAAGGGTGGGGGACTTTAGGGGGCAGTGAATCCACATCACTCGCCAATAAGGTAGATTTGGGAGATAAGATCGGCATAGTAAAAAACAAGACGCACATCAGAGGAACTGGTAGTATTAGCCACCGGACGCTAGGGTTCATACTGAAGGGAGAATCTGAGCACCCATGGACATATCCGAAGTGCAGTGATGGTAACCCAACTAACTAACTTACTTACTTACTTATCTGAATCGTCATTATTGTCCTGCTGTGTCAATATATGTCACATAGGGCTGTCAGTCTGTTTCTCTAGTCCGGTCTATCTTGTGCAATCAGTTCGATATCATGGATGAGATCCAGTCAAGCACCTTTGGCTTCTCTCATCAGCTTTCTTGTTATGGTTTCTCATGGGCATCTTTTTTTTCTGTCCTTATAATTCCCATTTTAATGAAATTATGATTAACCCATTCTTATTGCAGGAAGACAATTATAAGACCACTATGGTCACACACTGAATATTTTCACACTTCGGGTTATCCGAACCCAAAAACTGTTTTCAGTACTTTTCGGCAAAGTAAAATACTAAAATTTTTAAAACTATAAATGGTGGTTCAAAGGACATTATGTTGAGATGCTCGCTCTCCTACGATATAGGCCTGGCCAAATCAGAGGGAGCTGAAACCAAGGAGGAAACATCTGAAACGAAAGGGCCAGAAGAACGCAGTTGACAACAGGATAGGGAATGAGCGGTCTGACTTCGAGGAAAGAAGCATTAAACCCAGAGACGGCGCAAATACCATAACTTTAACCACAAAAGTCGCACAAATAAACAAGATCACAAATGTAGCCAGAGACTGTTGGCAGCTTTGGCTAGCTAGCAGCAGGTTCAACGTGATTGAGTTTTGGATTTTTTCTTAAAGGTAATTGGAATTAATGATATCTAAATACAGTTTAAAATTGACATGTAGAAAGCAGTATGAGAAGACGACAACCACAAGCTGTTTTTGTATTTGTGTGTGTAGATCTTCTTCTTCTGCTTCTTGGTGTTTCCATTGTCATATTGTGTGCTCTCGCTGCCGACAAAGGGGTCACAGATGATGTCCTCGGAGATAAAAGCGGCCGACATGACATTGACTGTCACCTATCGACTGCCGATTGGCCTATAAAAATATGAGTCTGGCCTCATATGCCCATTGCACCACTGGCGTGTCAACGAACCTTTAGTAAGCCGACCCTGCCCTGGCCGAGCTCTCTAGCCCCTGTTAAAACTCTTAGTGGCACAGAGGAGATATTACCAGGTGAAGAAGATTTAACGTTATATGCTTGAGGTGCATTGTGGGTCTTCTGCTTTTTGTTTCTTGCCCTCAACAAACTCACAACAGACTGTTACGTTTTTGTGTGAGATGATCTGATGTGTATTAAACTTGCTTAGCAATTTATAATCAGAAGTTAATTCTGTTTACCACAAGAATTTGTAAACTTTTTTAGTAATTAATTGTATTTTTATTCTTTTTTTTTCTTTAGCTGACCTGATCATGTTGGGTAAGTACCGTCTGTGTGAAGATTAAGAAGTCAGATTTTTTTTTTCTTAGGCAATAAGCAGACAAATGAAAAAACATTTACAGAGATGTGGTTTCTGAGAAGAATTCCAAGAATATCATAGATAGATAGAAATACAAACGGAACAGCCCTCATCAAAACAAATGAAAGTTGTAAACTGAGAACAATTAGGCATAGACAGACAGTAATTTTCTGACATATTATAAGGAGAAAATTGGACTCGACATCTTGGTAAAAACTGGCAAGATTAATGGAAGAAGAGCAAGAGGAAGGCAAAGAGTTGAATACCTGGATGGTTTGCCTGACGGATAGAACGAGACACACACAAAAACGGATCCGTGTGAGATGGCGAAACAGGACATCCTGCACTTACCGGCATGGCACATCATTATGATGATTAAGGAATCTAACTATGAACCAGGCAGCCGTCATTGAGACAGCTGAAAATTGTAAACTGATTAGAAAAGTTTTTTATAGTTTTTTTATTTAGTATTTTTTGTTTGTGTGGCTATGTTATGAGAAGAAATGGGCTGGAGAACTTGGTGATGACTGGGAAGATTAATGGAGAGTTAGTTTTCTTGAACCCTATTATAGGGAAAACAAGAATAGACCCAATGCATACTCAAAATCATGTTGTAAGAGTCGACTGACTGGAAGCTTCCTTCAAAGTCTGAGTGCATCTGCCTGAGAGGCAAGGAACCAGCAGTCTGCATACAAATGAGTCAGATCTGTAGAACGGTTGCACATGAAACACTCAGGTTCTGGAACAATACTGCAGTCCAGAAGTGGATGAACAACCAGAACTTTCTGCCAGAGTTTACAGCTGGTAAATGCAAAGGAGAAATTTGGGGAACAAAGAATAGACCCACTGTCCCCTTAACAAGCATATTGTAAGAGCCGACTAAATAAGGGTGTTTCCTTCAATGTTGGAGTGCATCTGCCTGACAGGCAAGGAACCAACAGTCTGCATACAAATAAACTTGATCTTTAAAACAGGTGTGCACACAAATCTCAAGTCATGGATTTAGACCAGAGCCCAGAAGTGGACGAACAGCCAGAACCTTTTGCTGGTGTTTATAAGAGGTGAATGCTAAGATAGTACACCACAGAGTGCCCTGTCACTTAGACATAATGGAAACAAAAGCTAGAGCGACCACATAAGAGATGGTTAGACGGAATATCCAAGGACATTCCCACAAGTGCTCTGTTCCCATCTTCAACAGCGAGCCCAGGGTTCCATTTCTGATGCCACAGTAACAGTCTAACCGTATATCCGTCTCGACCCTTCTTTTGAGTGTTGAGCATCAGCCAGATTCCCTGACCACTCCTTGCCACAGCATTCTCTTCAGACACTGATGATACATTTGTGCCTCTGCTCTGTTCAATGGCTGACAAAGGACTCTTACAACATACAGCTTTGTCGTGCATCAGTTCACCATCGAGTGGTGCAGAACCAGCCAGTACATCTGACTGTTCACCTGGAAAGACAAAAAGGTGCCAACATTGGACATCCTTTACAGCAGTGACTCTTCATCTTTTTTGTTCATGTTTTGTCACTTGTGTTTACTCTAGGTCTGGCCACCCATGAGCCGAATTTCACCATCATCAGAGAAGAGTTCAAGCCCAACCAGCCAAGGCCATGTGATCTTTGTGGACAAATGGGTAAGATTCCATTTTTTTAAAAATTCTTTCATTTGTCGTTCATTCATTCATTATTCTTTTATTTATTAGCTAACCACCTGTGACCTCTGAAGTGATGTCTTGCCACTCTGCATGGAACATATCTGTCTCCACCTTTCTCAACATGCTATATGAATCAGTTACAGTTAGGACATATGTTTACAGCTGGTTTTCAAGTCATTGGAAGGCTGCACTGACTGCCTGCACCTCCATATCATATACCAGGCTTTGTTGCGCTAAGCAATGTCCGTTCACTGTTGCTGTGAACCCCCCCATGCACCTCTCTTGCTTCTCAGCACAAAGCCATCTAAATAGTTGAGTCAAGATTGTCATCACAGCACTCTGGGCATTCCCATCTGTGCTCGGTCTTCATCTTCAGCAGCCAGAGCAGAGTTCCCATACTTTTGGTACTGTCGTAATCTGGTTATATGTCACATTCTTTTCAGGCCATTATAGCCATCTATATAGATAATCACATAACGCTCACCTAGGCGGGAATTATTTGTTGAACATTTAATTTTGAGAATTTTCTGGGAATGATCTGAAAAAGAGTGATGTAGAAGTGAACTGCCTATTGAACTTAATGCTATTAGCACCACACCAAAGTCGCTATTGCTAAATCCTTGTTTGTTGAAATTGTGAATGAACATTTAAGTCAATTGAAAGTTAGATAATTAACTCTTCGCTTGCTGCTGAAGATGAGGAAGGAGCGCTTATGGGAGTGTCCCGAGTACTATGATGTCGCTTCTTAATTCAACATTCAACTAAACATTATGTAGTTGCATGAAAAGAAATTCTTTATTTGGACCTTTCTGCAGTAGGAATTCACACTTTTAATTCTGGCATATAGTAAAGGTGGTTTTTAACCGTTTACAGATGGCGTCCTGATTGAACATATGGCAAAGCCCCAAATAGACAAAATGTGATTGAAATGAGGACGGCAAGAAAAGCAAAATGCCAAGCTCTGGTAATAAAAGCTTGGAGAAAATCATCCACATAAAAATCAAATCGGGAAATAGCATAAAAGAAACGGTCGTGAACAACTGGAGATTTAGTGTGCAAAATATCAATGTGAGGGTGGACACTGTTTTGTCGTGATCTTCTTCTTATTTGTTCGTTGGTTATAGGCTCCAGCAGAAAGTCCTGGTTGTTCGTCCATTTGAACTTTGACTTTGTGACAGGCCTGAGTTGTGCATGTGCGTCCGTTTTATTAGCTCATTTGTGAACAGTTGGTTGCTCCTTGCCCCTCGGGCAGATGCACTCTGACTACGAAGGAAGCCCCAGTTAGTCAACTCTTACAGCATGCTTGGTGTGGAGGCAGAGGATCCATTCTTGTCTTCCCCCCAACGGGACCCTGGAACCCACATAGGGATCGTCTTGATGATATATGCTGTTTGCACAAAGGGGACTGAGTTGGTCTAGAGGCATGGTTTCAGCCTTGTATGTTGGAGGTCCTGGGTTCAGGCTCTGGTGAAGGCTGTTTTTTTTTTTTTTTTTTTTACGTGGACTTATAGTAATTTTACCTGGTCTCTGGGTAGTAAATTGTTGTGAATTGTTGCGCACGTAAAAGATTCCTTGGCAGTTGGAAATCACCAAAGAGTAGCCTAATGGCGCTTCCCGGGTAAAAGTTTGGGTTAAAAATCTACCCAAAGTTAGTTCAGTATCCTCGCCGGTGCTACAGAGTTTGTGCACTGTGCTGAGATTCTTCGGACTCAGGCTTAAGTGAGAAGAAGAACAGAGCCGCGTGCCATGAAAAAAATATGTAAAGCAGATTATTACAAGTTTAAAAATTCATTGATGCCCACACCGTTCTTGAAAACTTTTTTGCCGACAAATCAGACTGAAAACCACTATAATAAAGTGACAAGTAACATCCTTGAAATTGCGCTGAAGTTACAGTCACTTAGGTGATCTTGGCATAGTGCTAAGATTGCCATCACTTAAAAATATATGTCCATATTCAGATACATATACACCCGCATACACAGGACCAAAAAACATACATTTATATCAATAAAAACCCAACCAGATCAAAAACATACATACATTGCAAACATCCAGCACTTTCTGCCCAGCAATAGTATTGACTGTGGTTTTTTTTTTACCACCTGCATTTTACCAACTGCATTAGATTGAATTCATAATTATTGATTTTTGTTCCATCTAGGTCATGAACTGAAGCAGTGTGAAGGGTTAGCTAAAGAACCAACTGATGAGGTGAGGCGCCTGATAAATTGCTCTTTTTTTTGTTGTTGTTAGTATTGTGGGAAATAAACTAAAGATTTGACCACATTCAACCCTGCTGAGAACAGCTTTGGTTATAATTGTGGTCTATGTTTATTTGCACCAAATTCAGTGGCTTAAATGGTTTGTTGTGGCAAGAGTTCTGGTTTATTGTTCCTAGCTGTATGTGCTGTTGTTAACGTGAACATATCTGGTTCTACATTGTGTTTCTGTGGTCTGGATGAGGGATCAGTTTTTCATTTACTGGGTATAATCATGTTTCCCATAATTGTGGCTTAGGAAACTGGGTAACAGTAAAGTAACTGGGTACCAATTAGGTAACTGGGTAACAGTAAGATATTTGGGTAACAGTAAAGTAACTGGGTAACAATAAGGTAACTGGGTAACAGTGAGGTAACTGGTTACCAGTGAGGTAACTGGGTAACAATAAGGTAACTGGGTAACAATAAGGAACTGCGTAACATTAAAGTAACTGGGTGACAAAATAACTCTGGGAAACAAAAAGATACCTGAAAGGTAATTGTGGGTAACAGTAAGGTAACTGGGTAACAATAAGGAACTGCGTAACATTAAAGTAACTGGGTGACAAAATAACTCTGGGAAACAAAAAGATACCTGAAAGGTAATTGTGGGTAACAGTAAGGTAAATGGGTAACTTTAAGGTAATTGAGTAAGTAATGATACAGTATCTGTAGGTAACTGATTGGCTTTAATGTGATTTGTAGTAATGTTGTTTTTCCCTCTCCCTATTATCAGTGCATATCAATGCCCGGAAGTGAGCAGCAGTATATCTTCGTGAGACTAAGTGTTTTGAGGGAGTATCTGCAGACGGAGATTGCCATGCCAAATTTGCCATTTCCGTATGACTTTGAAGTAAGTATGATAGTTGTTGTTAAAATTAGACCTGTGTCTGGTGTCTTTATTCTTTATTACCTTCTTGATAATCTTTGATGATCATGTTCTGGGCTGTTTATAAGGTTATATTTGAATTTTGCTGCCATAGTCTAGAGGCCTATGTGTTATGAAAGTGGCAGAGACTTTGAGACCCTTTAGTTCAGTATTTTCAACATTGTGGGAGGAGGGGGGGGGCCATCAAGCAGTTTAGAATTTGAGGAACTTCTAATAATCTGTTATACTGAAATTTCCCCCCTCCCCGTTTAATTATAAATAAAATATTTTTAACACTTTTGAAAAAAGAAGATAAAACCAAGATTTGGGGGGTGGGGGGGGGGGGGGGGGGGGGGGGGGTCTAGATTCTGTCACCTCTGTTTCTTTACGGGGGGGGGTGGGGGTGGGGGGGGGGGGGGGGGGGGGGTGGAGGTCAAGTCTAGGTTCTAGCACCTCTGTTTCCTTACTGTAAAGAGTGGGGGGGGGGGGGGTGAGTCCCTTTACAAGTCTTTATAACTCTAAGACATATACTATGATCGACTCCTTTTCTTTCAGAAAGGATTGAACCATGATTGTAAAAAAATGTTGGTGATTTGATTTCAGATTGTGGTTATATATAACTTCACGTAATACCGTATTCTCATAGGTTGCACAAGGAGGTACTACAGTATCCGTATAATAGGCCTCATTGCATATTCTGGTCACCTCTGTAAGTTAACTGGTTGGCCCTTGGTTGGTCAACTTATAGATGTGTTGTTGTAGTTTGAGTTAAGATGATGTTCCTTTTTCTTTGCAGAGAGCTCTGGATGACTGGGTGTTTATGTGCTTCTTTGTTGGCAATGATTTCTTGCCTCATTTGCCGTCTCTGGAGATCAGGTACGTTATCTTTACAGTGGCTTCATTGAGTTTCTGAGTATGATTCTAAATCATATATTGCATTTTACCAGTCTGCACTAGATACAACTGTTAACATTTGCTACTTGTTTCTTACAGTGGCTTCATTGAGTTTCTGAGTATGATTCTAAAATCATAATTCATTTTCAGTCTGCACTAGATACAACTGTTAACAATTTGCTACTTGTTATCTTTACAGTGGCTTCATTGAGTTTCTGAGTATGATTCTAAATCATATATTGCATTTTACCAGTCTGCACTAGATACAACTGTTAACAATTTGCTACTTGTTATCTTTACATTGGCTTCATTGAGTTTCTGTGTATGCTTCTAAATCATATATTGCATTTTACCAGTCTGCACTAGATACAACTGTTAACAATTTGCTACTTGTTATCTGTATTGGCATCTTATCACATCTGTGTGAGAGCTGGTGTCTCAAGTCTTACGGTAGTAGAAAAGTGAACAGTGAGAGCAAAACCGAAGTGACTGGGAATCACATTTGACTGGAGCCTGTCCTTCAAGGACCATATGGAGACTTGTCACAAGATGCCAAAGGGGACTGTGTGCACTTAAGTCTATGGCTGTGATGGACATAAAGCGGAGAATGCTTTACACACTGTATCAGCACTTGGTCCTCTCAGTAACTGATTGTGGGCTAAGAGTGCACACCATCTCAAAGAATCGGCTGGTTAAACTAGAGTGCATACAGAGTGCAGCTATGCAGGTCGTTCTGGGCTATACCAGAGACACTCCAGTGGTGTGTATGTGATGTATGCTTGGTTTGCCATCTGTTGCAAGTAGGCTCAAGGTGCTTTTATCGAAGTCATACCCAGAGTAGCGGAAGGCCCAGATCACGCTTTTACATGGACGCAGTTTAGGGTCAGCGGCTGATAAGAGGGAAGTCACGGATGGCGCAGGCAAAGGACATAAGACAAGATTGCATCCTGGAGAACATCAGGTGAGGAGAGGAGTGGGTCAAAGTGCCACCAAAACCATCAGACTTGTGTTGAGTCAAAGTCACATTGAGCTAGGAGTGCAGGGAGTGGCCATCAAGTGCCATGGAGGTGGAAATTCAGCAGTTGATTTGCTTGCTTGGGTGATGTGGTTATTTTTATGGATGTTCAGTGTCAAGAGGCAAAGAAGTGGCTGGGGCTTCTTAGGAAAAAACTAATGGTCAGTGTTTGGTACAGGGGAGCCTAGCATATGCTACCACAACATCCAGCTTAAGAATGGAGATAGAGGTGGTTACTGCAGATTTTTGCTGGCTAGAGAACATGACACACACATGCATGCTGACTCAGAAACCACTGAGGAATGTAAGGAGAGGCCATGCTTTGCATACAAAGTGGTTTGCTTCACTTCCGAAGTCACGGGTCAGGACCATTGTCTGGATCCTTTCTCTGGGGTGTGGTGGGAAATGAACAGGCGAATGGACTGACTGGCTCTGCACACCTTGGTGGAATACGGGGCATGATAAGGCTGGAGTGGTCAAGGCCCTATGAGAGCGCATGTACAATTCAGAACAGCAAATGTATCACCATTATCTGGTAAGAGTGATGCAGCGAGGACTAACGAGGAAATGTGACCAATAATTGACGCTCAAAGGAAAGGCAAGACGGACATATAATCAGACTGCTGCTAGTCCCATTGATATTGCAACTCTGCGCTGGCTGCTGAAGATGGGAATGGGGTGCTTATCGGAATATTCAGAGCTGTGGTATTGTTTCTTAAATCAACTCAACTCTGTTACTGTAGCATACACCTGACGAGATACAGTGACACATGCCAGGCAATAAATTGTGCAATAAACTGTCTGTGTCTTTTTTGTCCATACTTAGAATATTTGTTTGTTCATTGCTTTAGTTGTGTGTACTCAAAAATGGGTGATGTTTTTTTCTTCCACAGAGAAGGTGCAATTGACAAACTGGTTGAACTCTACAAAAAATGTGTCTATAAAACAGGGGTAAGTGTTTTTCATCTCTACTATATCACAATTATAAAATATTCTTCTTCATCTCCTGCTGCTTTTATCTCCCACTGGAGCATAGGTTCTCAACCAACTCATGCCAAATTGTCCAATCCTTTGTTATCCCAGCCAGCTTCATCTCGTCTTTTTAACCTCACTAAATGGTTTCCTTCTCCATGTTTTTCGTCTGCCCCTGTGGGTAAAATATATTATGCAGAGTGAACTAGAGATTTTTAATTGATATTCACTTGTTTACCTGGATCATTAGATATGTTTTTAATTGACAGAATTATGTTGACTTCTACAGTGTGGGTATATACTGGTCCTTTACGGATAAAAAGGTCTAACTATTGTTACCAAAAATTGAAGATCTCTGATCGTCCATTTTCAACTGAAAGAATGTATATTGATCTTCAAGCTAGGAGTTATTATTGCGTTTAATTTTCTTCACCATATGAAATACAGTTTTGCAGACAGTTCAATAATAGTTTTGTTAAAACATCCACACTGTTACAGATATCGACCATGCACTCAGAATGGAAAAGACAAGAGGCTTCCATCAAGCCCTCATTTGGACACCAGAAGCGACAGGAAAACGAGGAAGACCAAGAGAGTACTGGCCTAGAACCATCATCAGGGAAGGCTCAACCATAGGCTTAATAAACATCCAAGACCTAAAACAGGTGGCAACAAACCGCTAGTGATGGAGAGCTATGACCTCTGCCTTATGCGCCGCCTAAGCCTCAAGAGGAAAGACTGACTGATTGACTAAATAACTTACATATATTATTGTTTATATTGTATTAATCATGCTGGGACATTTCTACATTATAAATATGTTGGATATTGCAGGGATACCTAACGGACAGTGGTGTCGTCAACCTGAGCAGAGTCCAGCTGATCATGTCAGGTAGGCCTGAATTGTAGTTTACTGATTGTAGTTTGTGTAGTTGCACAATGGATAAGACAAGACTGGATGGACACCAGAAGCGACAAGAAAACGAGGAAGACCAAGAGAGAGACTGTGTAGAACAGTGTTTCCCAAATCTTTCTTAGTTGCGGCGCCTTTTTTCAATTAGGTGCCCTAACCAAAGTAAAAGTATGACTTTGTATGCAAGAGATAAAAAGAAATACAACTCAAAATCTTCATATTTGCCGCTCTAGGCCTGTGAAGAAGTCGTGGTTTACCTGGGCGCCGCCAAAGGTGTTGGAGTTTGGGAACCAGACTGGTGTAGGACAAACCTAGCTTCTGTCTTTGGACATATAGTTATACCATGAGAACTTTCTATATTGCTAGTTGCATTAGGTAGATTACTTATTCCGCCAGACAGTGGAGTAGCTGTACAGGACGTTGCAGCCCTATGCCCAGCATTTTATGGCTCAAGAGAAAAGACTAACTAATTAAAGCCCGTAGTGTGCGTTCATTCGGGAACTAGGTTAGGTTTGGCTTCTTGATACCACTGTCAAAATAACGAAAGACCCATTGCCCCTAGCTGGGATTACCCGTATTAAATACTTATTCCACAATGGGTTAAGGGACAGACTAATATGGGGGTAAAAGAATAGAAATAGACCCCTCCCCCCAACCCTCCCCTTTTGCGCACACCAAAAAAGCATGAAAGTGACAAATTAAGGGGTGTTTCCTTTGATGTCCAAGTGTAGCTACTGGGGGAGGCAAGAAGCTAACAGTATGTTTACAAATAAGCCAGATCTGGAGACTCGATTTGAGCGCAAAACTCAAGTTTTTGAATAAGACCGAAGTGCAGAAGTAAATGAACAACCAGATCTTTTGCTAGCGCTTACAGCCGATGCGAAGAAGAAGAAAATGGAAAAGAAGCGTTTATTAACTTGAATTAGATCTGTAGCTGTTATTATTGAAAAATTGGTTTTCATACTGGAGTTTGAAAGATTATGGAGAGAAAATAAATAATAACAACTTTTAAGTACCTCAGTGCCTTTGCCGCTCCTTGCGGATCAGAAAGTCATGGGTTCGGACCTTGGCTGTAAGGCTCGAGCCAGCCTTAAGTGGGGACCAGGTAAAATCCTGGGCAGTAAAGGTGGCCGGCGTGATGCTGACCACATTAGCCAACAAGTGCTGATTGGTCTGTAAAATATAGGTCTGGCCTCACATGCCAATACGCTGAAGGCAGGGAAAAGGGTCCTTTTACTACTACCTTTGGGCCTCAGAACCCATCAGTCCAGTCCAAGACAAAGGTGCATAAGAAAAGGGGAATATTATGATAAATACAGTACATAAGCTATATAGTCAAGATAGTCCTTAAATGATTGAAAAACCTCAAGAACACCCTGAAAGACTTCCTAAAACCTGGGAGGTCGCTGCATGTGACAGCTCATCCTGGTGCTCCTTTCTTCATCTAGAAGCTGTGGCCCATTAAGCTGCTTGAACTGCAGCAGCAATTCAGAAAAGACAAGCCAGGAAAGACACTGAAGCAAATCACCAGAGAGATGCGACCTCAGTTTCCTGTCGGCACCGCTCAAGAACTTTCAGTGCTAGAATAGACCTTATCAACCATCTGCGCACTTACAAAATCGAATCCAGTCATGAATGGATGAAAGCACTCGTCATCATCACCTGTGATAGACAAACAGCAGCAATTGATTGAATAACTGAAATCCAGGGAAGAGTTTTCTTAGTGGAAGCTTTTCTGATCTGGCAGCATGCTTTATTCCAAACGTATTAATGTTACCTTTCCTTTGGAGTAAACAAGGCAGACAGAGGGATCATAGGGCATAGGCAACACATATTCAGTTCCTGCTAGTTACACTTGTCATCTTCATGAGCTTGTGGTTCCTCTGCTTCCCTGTTCGTTCGTTCGTCCATCACAAGTGATGAAGATCACTCTGTCTTTCATCCGTCATGAAACTGCAGTTGAATGTTTGTGAGTTTCCCTGTAACAGTCTAACAGTTAGTTAGTCAGTCAGTTAATCGACAGATTATCCTCTTTGCACATGGGACAAAACCATAAGCGCTCGGATCCCAGCTTCAGTATATCCCTCAGCGGGTGATGACTGATAAAATCAGTTCTGTATTGGTTTTCTATTTTTATTTTGGCTACCTGTATAGTGTTCATGTTTGGCGACACCTCTTTGGAGCTGAAGTTCTTGTAGTCTTTTGATTCTGGAAGGGACCAATAAGCAGCATTCATTAAAATGTTTTTCATCCCACTTTCAGATTTGGGAAAACTAGAGGATGAAATTTTCAAGAAAAGACGACAGACAGAGGTTGGTATATTTCTTCGTAGCCTTTTACTAGTGAAATGTCTCCTTCTATATATTGAATTGTGGGGTTATCGTATATGTGTTTACCTGGATGGCACACAGGGGTTATGGGATTAGAAGAGGTGCTGTTCACGATAACTGTGATGTTTAAGTTAGGTTACACACTGTGCACCGTTTCATTCATAGATCATTGGACTGCTCTGAGGCATAGGGGTGTGAGCTCATTCTAAGTTATTTTGGGGACACCATCGACGATGTTGCGGCATGTTGTGTTCATTGCGCCGCCGTTCTGTGAGCAAGGCATTTAGTCGCGGTTTGCTCGCTTGACAGACAGATGTCCCGGAATAGACTCACTCACACTCATGTGGCCATGGCCATTGAGTTAACCGTATGTGTCGATTCCTCCCCACCAAATATATGGTTGACACATTCCGTTTCTGGGGACAGCTTTTATCGAGTTTGCTCTCTAGACAGTTGCAATCCCCTGCTGACGAGATTCTGTCTTCCCGAGTGGACCGCCGCGATCAAAACATTGCGAAAGCAGCATGGTCGAGGCTGCCAAGACTATCAGTCATTATCCCGCCCCGACACAGCACAACCACAATATACGCTGTTCCCACGAAAAACACATAATATCCTGCGTTGGAAATGCGCATAAAATAACAGCCCATGATTATGAGACAGAATAATCCGAGAGAATTGACAGCCAGCGAAAATAAACACAGCTGCTGTCCGCCATTTTTCACTCACACTCATGTGACCCAGAAGAGTCCCAAGAAGCTATGAATGAAAGGCCAGCGTCACGGTTCCCGTAAACAGCACCTTAGAAGACTCAAGGTACTGAGTTTATAAGGTTGGATCAGTTTATAAGGTTGGATCAGTTTATAAGGTTGGATCATCCAAGGAGCAGTATTTGCAAGCTCAAAAACTATTCTAGTGAACTATGGCTAAAAATGTCACAAAAAACGAACACAAAACAACGCAAATTGATGTTTCGGCTAGGGCCTTTCCCAACGTGAACTGAACTGCACAGCAGGCCCGGCTCGCTAGCGTAGTTGGCTAAACCTGACTTCGCAACGACCTGGTGACAAAATCCTTGTAGTCTGGGTTCATTTCTGCCAGATTTACGGTATTTATCATGGAATCAAGGCCGAAGGGTTGCGATATCCATAGTACCGAGCCAATGGGGTAAGAACTCATGGTTTCTGGATATAAAAAAAAAACAGCACATCGGTAAGTGTTCATGTGAGAAAAGAAAAGGGTGATGTGGAATGAATAAAGTAAAATAAAGAAAGTCTCATAAAACAGTCGTAATAGTGATAATATTTAATAGTAGTCAGAATAAAAGAGTAGTAGAAATGCTAGCTGAAAGACATATTTCATATTTAGTGATATAATGCTGACCTGATATTCTGTGCAATATTTTTTTGGCAGCGGAAGTGAAAAAGAGAGTTCTCAAGATCTATATAAATCATATCCTGATATACAGAATTGAATCGTGGACAGTTGGCCTATTATTGAAAAATTATTATGTGGTATTATAGGTGATTAATGAGAACAGGCTGGAATATAATAACAAAACAAAACAAAAAAGTAATGAAGATGTCTAGAAAGAAACTGACTTAGAAAAGAACTGATTGCCCACATTAAAAGAAGACAATCTACATTTCTTTGGTTGTTTTCACAGAGAAGTAGCAAACTGGAGTACATCGTGAGGGTGGGAAAGTTGAAGGGGAAGAAAGGCAGAGGGAGACCGAGAGAGAAGATGCTGAACATGATGGCATGGAAGATTATCTATGTCCGAACTGAGTGAAGCTACATGAGACTGAAGGTTGTAAATGGACATGACTTCCAGCGTCACCCAGCATGGACTATGGAAGAAGAAGATGCTAAATATACACATATACATATATACAATATATATATATATATATATATATATGTTACCTTTCTTTTGGAGTAAACAAGGCAGGTCAAGGGAGGTATCATGATGCATGGGCAACAAATGATCTCTTCAATACTAACCAGGCTTTGTGCTATGGCTTGCTAGTCACACTCGCCATCGCCATAGGCTGTGAGTCCCATACCTCCTAATAGCGAAATATTTGACTGTCCCGTGACCTGTGGATTTCCCCTGTTTGTGGTCAGCTAATAAGAAAGTACCAAAACTTGTGTTCATTTCTCACGCTAAGTTGACCTCAATGCTCCCCAGGAGGGTTTCAGTACCCTATTTTGAGGGATGTGAGAGTAGACCCACCGCACCCCTAGCAGGCTTGCTGCAGGAAGGCGACTAATTAAGGGTGTTTTCTCTGGAGTCAGAGTGCATCTGACTTCTATACAGATGCGCCCGCAGAAAGTGCAGTTAGAAATGGTGGTGCTGGAGTGTACATAGAATTCCCAGATGGTACTAGGGATAAGTCCAGCGTACCAACCGGAAAGTACTGCCATAACTATGATGCAGAAACTCAGGCTATCAAGATAGCAACAGAGAAACTGCTAAATACCAATCTTAGCTCACAGTATGTGGTAATGCTGACAGATGCTAAATCAGTACTTGAAGCACTCCAGTTTAGGAAACTACCAGAATTGCAAAAACTGCTGACACACCTCAGCCTTCAGCGAAGAGTTGTAATGCAGTGGATACCATCATATTGTGGAGTGCCTGGAAATGAGAAAGCTGATCAACTGGCAGGGGAAGAAGCGGCAAAAGGTCAGCCGGATGTACCAGTCACATACCACCAAAAGAAAAGAATCATTAAATCTATCAGGAAACCACCAGCTCCAGCACAAGACGACTATTTTTTTATGGACAGATCAGAACAAGTAATTATCCTCCGCCTCAGAACAGGGCACAACCGATTACACAACCACATGTACACAAAATTCAAGATAGGTGTATCAGCCATGTGCACATGTGGAAAGGTGCCCCAGACAGCAGAGTGTGTACTCCAGGACTGCACCGAATTTGACACATTAAGGCAAACCTTTTGGCCAGAAAGAACAACAGTGGAATTTATACAAGAGACAAAATTGCTGATATAGACAATTTATTTCAGCCGAACGAAAGAAGAAGTGCATCTGACTGAGAGGCGAGGCACCAGCATCTGCATACACATAAGCCAGATCTGTAAAATGGATGTGCACACTAAACTTAAGAGCTGGAACAAGAGTATAATCCACAAGTGCACGAGCAGTCAGAACCTTCCACTGGATTTACAGTTGGTGGAAATAGTGCCACAGAGTTTTTGTCTTTCCTTGTTCTCCGAGTAATCTTTTGTTACATTTTGAATTTTCAGCTTGATTTTCAAAGAAGAGACAAACAAAAGAAGCAGAGAATGAAACAAGTAAGTATTGACTTGGTAAAAAAAAATATATATTTTCTGTTTAATTATCAAGTAATTCTTTTTCTAAAAATCATAAAAAAATTTTTTTTGACATCCATGGTTCATTAACAATTTGTGGATGCACTGTAAGAATTTTGAAATTGACTTTGCTTGATTAATTGTTTTCTCATATGAAGTGAAAGAAATTTTTTATTTTTGTTTTAAAAACATTTTTCAATAACCTCTACACAAGCCTGACATGTTTTTATCACTATCAGGTGAAGTTTGGATGTAGTAGATCTTCACAGGTTGAGTCATTGTTGCACATTCTGCAAAACTATAACAAATGGTGAATAAGAGAATTTGAAAAATATGTTGAGGGGCATAGGATGAGCTGCAAGAGGTGGCAAACATTTGGACACAACATAATATCATCAAAAGACATCAAACCAGACCAAAGTAGAACTGTTCAGTTTCACAGTGTCACAGTCACAAATAAGAGATGAACGTTTCAGCCTTACATCAGCACATTACGTGAAGAAACTGTTAGAGTTCTTTCATTGTCCTATTGTCCTGTCTCTTACTTAGGCTTGCAGTCTTTTCCTCCATTCCGTTCTTTCCTAGTCAGTCAATTGATTGTCTGGGATGGAATCCAGTTCATCAACTTTGACCTCTCTCATCAACATTTGTTTTGGGGGTCCACACTTCCTTAATCCCTTTTTTTTCCAATCTTTTTACCAGTTTGGTGATTCTCTGCTTGTCTCTTCTCTGGATATGTCCAGGATAGCATGGTATTATGATTATTACGTGCTGGAATACCAAAACAACAAAATCACTTAACTGTTGTATCTCTAGGAGAAATCCATGTCTGTCTGGCCAGTTGAAGCTCTGAGACACGTGTGAACACCAGAAATGAATACTAGCTGAAAATCTGTGACAGGCAAGGACTGCAACTCAGAAATATTAGGGGAAGCTTTGTTGGAGGTTGCAACTTGGCTAGAGTTGGTTGAGGGCCTGTGCCTGATTGGATGATAAAGGGTAAAAAAAGAATCCATTTCCATACAATTCTTAAAATTTTCCTCTTTTTTCTCACAGCAACAAAATGCTCAGAGGCCAAAGTGGATGTTGGGTGGACAATTTGCTCCTCAGGTAATATTTCTGTTTATTTTCTCTCTTGTTTTGTTGAATGTGTTTATTGCATAGCAGTGATTTAGAAACTTCTTCTTCTTCTCTTCCACCTTGTAACTCACTGAAATGTCGGGAGAAGATGTAACTTTCGTTGATGAGCTCTATCAAGAGCACTATTAAGACTAATGTCATTTCTGTAAGGCTGTTCTTAATGCCATCACTCCATATTTTCCGAGGTCTTCCACTCGCTCTATACCCGTTGTAACATTTTAGTGTGGCTCACTGTGGCAGATAGTACCAGGGCATTCTTGTTAGGTGTTCAAACCACTTCATTTGTTGTTCTTTGATGAGCTGTAAGACCGGCTTTATTCCTAGCATTCGTTTGACTTTGTGAGTTAAGAATGCTGGGACAAAGATAAAGGTAACACTGCTCACCATGGAGTTTCGCAATGACTTAGTCCACTGCGTACAGAGCCTGCCTGAACACCCTGGATCATTTGACAGATCTTTTCTTAAGTACAGTGAAATTATTCGTCTTGTTGATCACTCAACCATATTTTTCAGCACAACTAATGTAATAAATATAGGGTGACTGCGGCCAAGCTGATGTCGAGAAGCTCAGAGAAGGAGATGGAAAAGACACCCACAAATACAACCAGTTTGTATTTATTTTGTACTTTGATGATAAAGACTGGTTAAAACAATCATTTGTATTTTTGTGAAGCTGATGTTAAGATGCTTAACGGAGGGGATGGAAAATACGCCCAAACATACAATCGATGTGTGTTGTATTTAGTTATCCATTGATAAAGACTTTGGTCAAAACATTCAGTAATATTTTGATGGAGCTGATAAAAAAGAAGTTTGATGGAGGAAATGGAAAAGCTGCCCACACATACAACCAATTTGTGTTGTATTTAGTACTCCATTGATAAAGACTTTGGTCCAAAACGTTCAGTTGTATTTTGGTAGAAACGTTCAGGTGTGTTTGTGTGCATCTTTTTCATCCCCTCCATTGAGCTTTACAGTCGCAGCTTAGTTTTTATTTCGTCACAATGGTTTAAAATTTGTATATGATGCTCTGCAGCAATTGGGACACCATGCGTCCAGTGTAGTGTCCAATCCCAGACAGGCGGCCTTTGAAGTCCGTAAACAGAACATGTCCACGTCCTCAAGGCAGGATGCAGGGGCCGAACTCAGATCACTCATGTACCAGGAGGGCGGAGCTGACCAGCGAGGGCAGAAGAGACCGGCAGAGCAACAAGGAGGACGGGGTGGAGGGGACAGTGACGAGGAACCGGAAGCTCCTGATAATGTCAGGTGTGTAGGCAGTAATGCATGTTTGGTCCTATGTATGTGAATATGTTATTGTGTGTGTCATGTGTATGTGGACACGTGTATTTTTTTGGGTTGGGGGGGGGGGGGGTCCCATTTTTATGTACATGCGTATGTTTATTTTTGGCCACATAGTGTATTCTTGGTCCTCTACTTGTGTTTATTATGCATACATGTATGTGCAATTTTGGTCCCATATATGTTGACTATGGGTCCTGTTTTTTGTAGACGTATATGTATTTTTTGGTCCTGTGCATATGGACATACATTTATGTGGTTTTTATTTTGGTACTGTGTGTGTTGGTGTACATGCAGCTTTCTTTGTCCTGTGTTTTCCGTGTCATTAACCAAACACTGAACAGGCAAATACTGAGACTAGCTGAAGCTTTAATAATTAAAGTGAACACACCCCCCCCCCCCACACACACACACACACACACACCCCCTCCCCCCCTCACTCAATGTAAGCCGGAACTCGTTACACATTTAAAATTGACCTGTTAAATCATGCTTTATAATATTTTGACGAAACTTTAGGAGTGCACCTGATGAGATACATCAAAATATGCCTGTCAGTATCCTTTTATATATATATATATATATATATATATATTTTACAAAATTAAGAATATTTTATGCAATCTTTCTTTGTCAGGTGAGACAAGATAGAGAATTCTTAAAAGCAATATAAATCCTATATTGATATACATGTGTGAATCATATACAGTTGGTGAATTAATGAAAACTTATTTGGAAGCTGCAGAGATATGGTTTTATAGACGAGTGATGAGAGTATCCTGGACAGATTAAAAGTAATGTAATGAATATGTCTTGAAAGAAACTGACTCACGAAGAGAACTGATTGCACACATCAGAAAGAGACGATCTACATTCTTTGGTCATGTGGTGTACATCAGAAAGAGACGATCTACATTCTTTGGTAATGTGGTGTACATCAGAAAGAGACGATCTACATTCTTTGGTCATGTGATGTACATCAGAAAGAGACGATCTACATTCTTTGGTCATGTGGTGAGAAGGAGAGAACTGGAGTACATCGTGACGGTAGGAAAGTTGGAGGGGAGGAGAGGCAGAGGGAGATTGAGAGAACAGATGCTGGACAGTTTGACATGGCATGGAAGATCATCTATGTCAGAGTTGATTGAAAGTACACGAGACAGAAGGTTATGGATAGACATGACTACCAACGCCATATGGCATAGACTTTAAGAAGAAGAATATATATAAATGGGGGGGGGGGGGGGGGGGGGGGGTTATAGATGATGATGCTGCAATGTTGAAGTGTGAGGGTAAAGGTTACACAGAATACAGATTCATGTTTCATATATTTATTATGTTCCTACAGATTGTGGGAAGACGGATGGAAGGACCGATATTACAAATCCAAGTTTGATGTCGATGCTGACGACATTGAGTTTCGCCACACAGTGGTAAGTGAATATTTAAGTTGTGTGAAAGTAGTTGTAGATTCAGCTTTTTGAAAAATAGATGAAAGAAGTCATTGGCAGTGCAACATTTGCACCGTCATCAAGGATGATATAAAAAAAAACAATAAAACAAGAGAGGCATTCAAGATGTGGTCAGAATTTGTCATCCAACATTAGTGAGGATTATCAACACAGAATTCTGGACAGGTATAGAAACCCCCTGGTTTCCTCATTTGCTTCACAAGTGTAAAATTTGCCTAGAAAAACCACAACAGCCACAGAATGCTGGGGTTGGTTCTGCAGTGTCCTGTAAAGGCTACACTACGTGCAAGAGATAATAATTCATAGACATTGTCACATCACATCTGGAGGCCAGACAATCTGTACTTTCATTTCTGTCTACACTGGCATACTCTGAATAGAAGAGCTACTTTATCTGTAGTGATTATTATTATCATTATTTTTTGTTTTGTTTTGTTTTTGTTTTTCGGAGCCAAGTAGCGTGTATGTCTGGTCACTGGCTTCCACGGAGTATCTTTTACCCATAACCATGATAATGAACTCTGTGTAACACACATCACTTAACTCATTTGTTTTACCCGTCTCTCTAGCGTGGTTGGCTAAACCCGGATTGCGCGGTGAGCGGGTGACGAACTTCTTGTGGTCCGGGTTTACTCCCGGTGGTAGGCAGAAAAGCCACATTTCTCCCAGATTTACGGTATTTACAATAGAATCAAGGCCGAAAGGTTGCGATATCCATAATGCCGAGCCTAAGGGTTAACAACTCATGGCTTCTGGATACTAAAACAAACAAACAACTCATTTGTTTACCTAAATAGCATCCATTTGGTGAAAAAAAAACTATCACAGTGTGGGGGTTTGCCCTATACCCAGCCCTCCTGATTTTTCATCTGAGCTTGGGACTAGCAATGGCGGAGATGTCATCTCAGGCAGTTGTAATGAAATGTTTAGATTGAACTCTTGGCTTCCATTCCCGTGTTGGGTGGCTGTTTTGATTTTGTGACTGTTGAATGTAAAATGTTTTAGTCCGATATTGAGCTCTGTATTAAGAGCTGTTAAATTATAACAAAAGATACAAAATACCTACTTGATAAATAGTTGCAATTATTTATCACAAAAAAACAGTCTACCTAGCTTAGCAGAGGTCCCTTTTTCATGCCTTTAGGCGTATAGGGCATATAGGGCCAGACCTGTATTTTTATAGACCAATCGGCACAAGATAGATAATGTGGTCAGCATCATACTGGCCGCTTTTACTTCCCGGGACTGCATCTGGTACCCGCTAAAGACTAGGTCAACCTAGGATTCATGGTCATTTAAAAACAAAAACAGGCTGGGTCGACCCGGGAGTCAAGGTTCTTTTTGAAAAAAGTCTGACTCACAACCTTCCGATCCGCACGCGAGCGTCTAGCCGCTACGCTATGGTAACTCTAGCATAGCAGAGTGATATTTTAAATCCCTCTGAAATAGAAACACCTCATCTCTCTCCCAGACTACTGAAGAACTGTGGTATAAAATGAACTTGATGTATAGTGTAGTGTCTTTGCATTTTGGAGTGTGTATATTTAAGTTTTATTTAACAAAATTGTAGGTCATATATGCAGTATTTATAAAGATCAATTTTGACTTCTGTCCAGGCACAACACTACGTCAGAGGCTTGTGCTGGGTGTTGCGCTACTACTACCAGGTTTGTATGCTTCATGTTTTTGTCAGATGTTCTAGCTCTGTTATGGTTAGCTTTAATGAAGCTGATAACGTAAAGTAATTTATCATCACATACTCTAAGGTAAACCGGTTGCTTTTATTTGTGTGCATTTATTCCTTGACTTTCTATGTGGGTTCCGGAGCCCCATGGGGGTGGGGGGGATGAATAGACTCTGCTCCCTAATAAGCATTTTGCGAAGGTCGACTAATTAGGGATGTTTTCTTTAAATCAGACTGCATCTGCCCGAGAAGTGAGGAACCAAGAGTTTGCTTACAAATAAGCCAGATCTGTAAAACAGACGTGCAGGTATATCTCAAATTCTGGAATAAGACTGAAATCCAGAAGTGTATAACACGAATACAAAGATGAACCCAGACTATTGTCTTGTCGGGCAAACACACCGTCAAGTCTGTGTCATAAAAGATATCCAGCTAAACGAAAAGTAGAACCAGTCGGCTCCACATTGTCACAGATAATAAGTGGACGGTACAGCCAGAGAGCCTTTATCAGTACATTACATAAATATACAAAATGACTACATGAAAATATTTACCACAAATATGAACAGCAATACACAAATCACTTAACTGAAGTATCCCCGAGAGAAATCACATGTCTAGCCAGTAAAATTGTTGATACACGTGTGACCACAGGAAATAGGTTTCATCAACATTGATGACAACAAGCATGTCGTAGAAAAGAAAAATTGGGGGCTTTCTTCTAAATCAGAGTTCATCTGCCTGAGAGGCAGTGAATCAGTAGTCTGCATACAAATAGTTCAGATCTGTTGTAAAACGGAGGTGCATGCAACACTCAAGTTCTGGAACAAGACCAAAGTCCTGAGATGGACGAACAACCAGAACTTTCTGATGGAGTTTGCAACCGGTGAACATGAAGAAGAATGAAGAAGTACATTTCTTGAGGATAATTTCTTTTCACGGCTGTCCATCGTGGAAATATTTTTTTTTTTTTACTTCTGCATTCTAACACTTGAGTTCTGTTGCTGTAGATAACACCCAGCCATTCATCTCTTTGATTAACCCTCTCTGTCCAGATGATGATCACGAATTTATAGGGCTGCCTAGATGGTATCGTTCCACTGTCTTCTTGGTCTGCCTCATCGCCTACTCTCATTAATTTCTTTTGTATCTGTAGTTTTTATCTCTCTTTCTTATCTGCCATTCACCCTCTATCGTCACTGTTTATTAACCCTCATGGTGCCAAAAATCTTCTTCTTCGCGTTCACCAGCTGTACACTCTGGTGGAAAGTTCTGGTTGTTCGTCCACTTCTGAACTGCAGTCCTGCTCCAGAACCTGAGTGTTGCGTGTGCATCAGTTTTACAGATCTGATTCACTTGAATGCAGACTGTTGGTTCCTTGCCTCTCAGGCAGATGCACTCTGACTTCAAAGGAAGCTCCCCAATTAGTCGACTCTTGCAACATTTTTTTGGGTAGGCAGAGGGTCTATTCTTGTTTTCTGCACGATGGAGCCCTGGAACCCACACGGGGAGTGCCAAAAATGATAATACAGTCTAGTAAATGTGATGTTTTCTATTTAGGGCTGTGCATCGTGGAAATGGTACTTTCCTTATCACTATGCCCCGTTTGCCTCTGATTTTGTCAACATTGGAGACCTGCCCAACGACTTTGAGAAGGACACTGTACCGGTAAGTTTTTCTTTCATTCTCTCTCTCTCTTTTTTTTGTAATTACTTTTTTTTCTGTTTAACTCTGAGTCCCAAGGAGCGCATCATGCGTTCATAGGTTCCTACCTAGAAGCCCAATAAACGCATGGTGCGCCGATTTTATTACTTTCTTTACTACCCCCTGTGCCTGTGATGCTAAACCCCCTGGGACTCAAGGAGTTAAACATGTTACCCCCACAATAAGACCTAATCAGAAAAAAATTAATTTTTAGGATGCTTTTGTAATATAAAGCGTAACCCAAATGTAAATCCTAGTTAAGATTGTCACCCGCACGAGTGGATTTTGTTGCCTGTTGAAACACATGCCTATTAAATTATAAATCAATGAATGTACAAGTAAAGTTATTCATATCATTGCATTCCATAAATGATAGTCAATATAGTGTTTTTGTACATGTTTAAAAAAAAAAGACATCCCCTGACAAAAAAATATATTTATGTATGGTCCTGTCTTATTTTAGCCGGGAAAAGGGTATATTGCCCCAACAAGCATATCGTAAAACGGCGACTAATTCAGGGCTTTTCCTTTAAAGTCATAGTGCATCTTCCTGAGAGGCAAGGAACCAACAGTCGTCATATAAACAAGCCAGATCTGTAAAACGGACGTGCAAAGTCCAGAAGTGGAAGAACGATCAGAACTTTCCACCAGAGTTTGCAGCCGATGAAGGTTAAGAAGAAAATAATATACTGAGGCTGTCAGGCAGGTCCGGCCATAACTGGCTCCCAGCACATGTCCTGAGATAATATCTGGCATCAGTCAAATGTTGGTCTGCAAGTACAGTATTGGAACTCTCAGGTTGAGAGACAAAAAGGAATACCAAACAATTACATGGAGAAACGGAATTAGAGAGGGAACTCGTCTTCTTTCTTCTTTGCTTTTAGTTTCGTATGCTGAGGTATGACCATCAGGTTAGTTGCCTCAATAAACTTGCATGTCAGTAGCAGGTCCTTCAGGGTTCCCCATAGATTGCTCTGCGCACTTTGCTCTTGAGGTCAGGTTTTGTTTTGATTGTATCTAGAGTGGGCAGGTCTGCAGAATGTGCTCAGGTGTTTGTGGTCCTGTCTGACAGGCACACTGTGGGGACTGTGCAGTCTTTATTGTATGCATGTGGTAGTTGAGCCTGCAGTGTCCTAGAGAGTGAATTGGAGAAGATGGGGAAGAACATGAATGGAATGACACACGATAGCAAAAGATAGTACGATTTGGCGTCTGTTGGTTGAGGGCTTGTGCTACATTGGTGGGTATAAAGAGGAAGAAGACGGAGAAGAAAAGCATTGTTTACAGTACTACCACATCCTGAAAGAAAAAAAGAAAAATATAAAGCACGTATTTATTAGCCATAAGTATAATCTGTGTAGACAGTAATAATAATCATCTGATGCGATAGATGTGCCTTCTCTACAATGAAGGTTGGCTGCACTGTTCTACTGCTGTCTTTGGGAATATTACATGGTTCAGGTCAATCTCTTCCACTGTGTGACTCTCGTACAGTTGTAAAAAAGCCAATAGAAAGATTTTTTTTTCTAAACTGCCTACCACGGGGAATGAACCCTGTTACTCTCGAATCAGGAATTTTTGATCAAATTGACTAACCTCTAAGTCACAGAGCCACACAACTCATCAAATGTTCTAGAGAACTCTTAATGATGACATGTCTTGTCTTGTCACTTGCGCAGTTCAAGCCCCTGGAGCAGCTCATGGGAGTGTTCCCGGCCGCAAGTAAGAAGCATATTCCTATCACATGGCAGACACTGATGACAGACCCGGTGAGTGAGACTGCATTAATACTCGTACAGTGGTCTTGTTTTAGTGTTGGTACAGTGGTCTTGTTTTAGTGTTGGTACAGTAGTCTTGTTTTAGTGTTGGCACAGTAGTCTTGTTTTAGTGTTGGTACAGTAGTCTTGTTTTAGTATTGGTACAGTAGTCTTGTTTTAGTATTGGTACAGTAGTCTTGTTTTAGTATTGGTACAGTAGTCTTGTTTTAGTATTGGTACAGTAGTCTTGTTTTAGTGTTGGTACAGTAGTCTTGTTTTAGTATTGGTACAGTAGTCTTGTTTTAGTATTGGTACAGTAGTCTTGTTTTAGTATTGGTACAGTAGTCTTGTTTTAGTATTGGTACAATAGTCTTGTTTTAGAATTGGTACAGTAGTCTTGTTTTAGTATTGGTACAGTGGTCTAGTTTTAGTATTGGTACAGTAGTCTTGTTTTAGTATTGGTACAGTAGTCTTGTTTTAGTATTGGTACAGTAGTCTTGTTTTAGTGTTGGTACAGTGGTCTTGTTTTAGTATTGGTACAGTAGTCTTGTTTTAGTATTGGTACAGTAGTCTTGTTTTAGTATTGGTACAGTGGTCTTGTTTTAGTATTGGTACAGTGGTCTTGTTTTAGTATTGGTACAGTAGTCTTGTTTTAGTATTGGTACAGTAGTCTTGTTTTAGTATTGGTACAGTGGTCTTGTTTCAGTATTGGTACATTAGACTTGTTTTAGTATTGGTACATTAGACTTGTTTTAGTGTTGGTACAGTAGTCTTGTTTTAGTATTGGTACAGTAGACTTGTTTTAGTGTTGGTACAGTAGTTTCCCTATTTATAAAGTAAAGGACCCTTTTACACGCCTTTCAGGCGCATTGAGTATTGGACCTGTATTTTTTTTTAGACCAACGGCACAAGATGGGTGATGTGGTTAACATAGCCCTGGCTGCCTTTACTTCCCAGGACTGCACCTGGTACCCACTCAAGGCTGGGTCAACCAACGAGCCAAGGTCAATTCATAAAAAATAGTCCGACTCCGCCATGGAGCAAACCCACTACTTTCCAATCCGCAGGCGAGCATCTAGCCGCTACGCCATGCTGACTCCCTTTCCATATTAGATAGTTGTATATATATATATATTTTTTGTCGGAGTTACACACACACACACACACACACACACACACACAAGAAAGTTGTTTCCCTTTGTATTGAAAAATATTTTTCCTCTTTCCTTTGTCAGAATCACACACAAACAAAAGTTGTTTTCCTGTATGTTGAAACATATATTACTCCTACTTTTGTCGGAGTCACACACAAAAGAAAGTGGTTTTTCTGCGTTTTGAAACATATATTACTCTTTCTTTTGTCGGAGTCGCACAAAGAAGAAAGTTGTTTCTCTGTATATTGAAACATATTACTCTTACTTTTGTCGGAGTCACACACAAAAGAAGGTTGTTTTCCTGTGTATTGAAGAAACATATATTACTCCTACTTTTGTTGTAGTCACACACGAAAGAAAGGTGTTTCCCTGTGTATTGAAACATATATTTCTCTTTCTTTTGTCGGAGTCGCACAAAAAGAAAGTTGTTACTCTGTATATTGAAACATATTACTCTTACTTTTGTCGGAGTCACACACAAAAGAAGGTTGTTTTCTTGTGTATTGAAACATATATTACTCCTACTTTTGTTGGAGTCACACACGAAAGAAAGGTGTTTCCCTGTGTATTGAAACATATATTTCTCTTTCTTTTTGCAGGAGTCACCAATAATAGACTTCTACCCAACAGACTTCAAGATAGATTTGAATGGAAAGAAGTTTGCCTGGCAGGGTTAGTGTTTCATAATTCTGATCTTCCCTGTGTGGTTCTGAGGACCTGTTGGAAGGGGGTGGGGGCAGGGAAGAATGAACCCGCTAGCCCCCTAACCATCATTTGGTTAACAGTGATAGACTAAGGGTTTGCTGGAATCAGATATATTCAGCCATAAGGAAAACAGAGAAACTGCTAAATACCAATCTTGGCTCACAGTATGTGGTAATGCTGACAGATGCTAAATCAGTACTTGAAGCACTCTAGTCTAGGAAACTACCAGAATTGCAAACACTGCTGACACAACTTAGCCTTCAGTGAACAGTTGTAATGCAGTGGATACCGTCATATTGTGGAGTGCCTGGAAATGAGAAGGCTGATCAACTGGCAGGCGAAGGTGCAACAACATTGCAGACCAGAACAAGTCATTATCCTCCGCCTCAGAACAGGGCACAACCGATTACGTAACCACATGTACTCAGAATTCAAGATAGGCGTATCAGCCATGTGTGGAAAGGTGCCCCAGACAGCAGAGCATGTACTCCAGGACTGCACCGAATTTTGACACATTAAGGCAAACCTTTTGGCCAGAAAGAACAACAGTGGAACGTAAACTCTATGGGCCACTGAATGAACTAACAACAACAGTGAAGTTTATACAAGAGACAAAACTGCTGACATAGACAACTTATTTCAGGCGAACAAAAGAAGAAGAAGGCACAGCTATTGCAGCCTTGCTGTAAACTACAACATAATGTGTCAACTACCCCTTTAAGAGAGAACACAGAAGAAGAATTCTGGCTTGATTATATGTATGTTAGCTTTTTCCAATCTCCCGCCTTTCATCTCTCAATGGATCATAAGCCTCAAACCAGTTCATGCCAAGCACTTTGTAAACTTTTTCATGACTGACTGGATTTACTGCTAAAGTTGTCAATGGGGATGGATTTTGCAGCTAAAGTTGTCAATGGGATAAGGTAGCTAGCATGACACCAAACCTCCTTTGATGCATATTGTGGCATGCTTGGTAGGTTTGGAAGATGGTAGAGCTGCCAGTCTGGTCGGTTGTCATAGGTCATCCCCTATTATTCCCATCTGGGTTTAGGTGCCCCAGATTGTGGGGAAGGGAGAGGAAGGGGGCGAAAAGACCTTAATTAGATAACGAGTATTCTGTCCAGTACCAATCAGTCATAAAAGTCAGTGGCTGCCTAGTAATCTGCATGCTCATTGCCTCGAACACCCACATATCTCAGCTCAAATATAAAGTTGTGACCAGCCTTTTGTGATGTGTTTAGTGATAGGATCCATTCCTGTCTGAAGCCAGCCTCGATTTTCATGAGCGTAATTATGGAGTCACGCAGTATTCTGGGGATGGTTGAACTCTTGAGCATCGAGACATGCCAGTGCTTTTAATACAGCCACGTGTCATTTGTGAGGCTGCTTGTTGTAACAGCAAAGGCACCACTCATCTCAGTGATGGTGTTCCTCCTTGAGCTTACTGTGAATGCCCAAGCACATCTGTACGAACGGTTAATTACTGCCACCAAGACAGTAATTTTATGCCGTCAGGACAGATAAGATTCCTGTTCTGCTCAGAAGCAGGTGTACACCACATAACATCCCCGTGGGGGTTCGGGGGACAAATTGTAGGGAGAACAAGAATAGACCCATTGCCCCCTCCCTCCCCCCCCCCAATAAGCATGTCACAAGAGTCAACTAATTGGGCGCTCCCTTTAAAGTTGGAGTGCATCTGCCTGAGGCAAGGAACTAACAGTCTGCATACAAATAAGCAAGGTCTGTAAAAACTCAGGTCCTGGAACAAAGCCAAAGTCCAGAAATGGATGAACAACCAGGTTTTTCAACCAGGGTTTACAGCCGGTGCACGCAAACAACAACAACTGCATAACATTTTTGTAATGTCGTGCTTTCTTTATTTCTGTTTCCTTAAAAAAAAAAAAAAAAAAGCAAGAAATAGTTTGTACAAGGCGTTTGTTGATGGTGAGTTTTCATGAATTTTATTTGGTTTTATTTTATACAGGAGTTGCTCTTTTGCCATTTGTAGATGAGACTAGACTGCACAAAGCACTAGAGACAGTCTACCCAGACTTAACCCCACAGGAAAGTAAGTCATTCTGTTTCAACAGTGGATGTATTTGTGTTGTTGAAATAGTTCAGTAGTATTTTATACTCTTACTAATGTAAAACTGTGGGAACAACACCATACACCAGATTCATTGAGAAACGGAAGATGAAATGGTTTGGTCATCTTGTTAGAATGCAGCGACATCTATCACAGGCGCTACACATAAAATGATATGGTGTGAAATCAAGAGGACACCCTATGAGAATATGGAGTGATGACATTAAAGATCTACGCCAACACAGAATGACTAGCCATCGCCACCCATCAAGCAATGGATCACAAACTGTTGCTTCCCATAACATTTAATAGAAAAAGTGAAAATTGGTGGTGATGAGGACTGATGAAATTACACCCCCCCCCCCCCCTCCAAATCCTAGGTTCTCATCTGGGGCTTGGCTTATATTGATTGCATCCATGTTTTCTTCCTGTCAGAATGCATCTGCCTGAGAAGCAAGGAACCAAGTCTGCATACAAAAAAGCCAGATCTGTAAAACAGATGTGCATGGAAAACTCGAGTCCTGGAACAAAACCCAGGTGTCCCAGATTTGATTTGATTCAAGAACCGACATCACAGCACTCGGGTTTTGCTCCAATTAACAGTATGTGAACGCTAACTAGTTTGAAAAGCATAGTAGAAATGAAGTGTTGGGAGTCACTCGTAGGGTATATTAAAGGTCACATGAATGTGTATGAATGGGCAGGAGGCAGGTCGGAGTGAGTGCTGATCGGTCAGGTGGCGCTTGCAGAGTGAAGGGGGCAAGCAGATATTTCATGGACAAAAAGCTGTCACGCCAGAAAATATTACAGGGAAATATTTTCCATAGGCAGGGACTGTTCCTGCTGGAAGGTTTCGAAAACACATATTGCGACAGACATTGTTCATTTATCATTTCATTTGTCTACTGTGAATAAAGAAGATGTTTAACTGACACAATGTGTCTTGGAGTCTCTTATACGCCAGGTTGTTATTGTACCCGATGACCTTTTGTGTATCTCACATGCATGTGTCATTTGAGGGTAGGGTCATAACCCTAACAATGACCCCAACAGCTAGTCCCAGTGCAGATACTGACGTTTGGGTATTTGGCTTTACACAGAATAGGCCACATAAGAGGTGGGTTGTCCAGTTCCTTTTCTCTTCACCCCTGCTCCTGGTATGACAGTTTCTTTATCGTCTCTAGGGAAAAGGAATACAAAAGGCCATGACAGACTTTTTATTGGGCTTCATCACCCGGCTTATGCATTCCTGGAAGGTCTTTATGAAGGGCGCAGAACTCTAGAGGTAAGTAATTTAAGGGGAGATAAGAAATAGGGGCAGGAATAGATTTCTCTACTTTCTTTTCTTTTCCTTCCTTTCTTTTCTCTTTCTTTTCTTTTCTTTCTTTTTTTCTTTTCGTTTTTTTTAAAATTTAAGTTACTATAGGGGTCACGGGTAGTTCTCATACTTTTGATCTTTTCTCCAGTTTTTGCCGGTGTATTTGGAAATAAGCAGGCGGTTCCCCTCCGTCCATAATGTGCTTTCTTTATTTGTGTTTCATTTTGTTGTCAGAACACACCAAAGAAATTTGGCTTTCCAAATAGTCATTATCACTGTGTATATTGCCACTTTGAAAGTAATGTATTCACATTCTTTCATGAATCTCCTGTGAAACCTTCCCATTCTCAAAGAGTTATTTGGGCTTATCAAGCATGCAAATAATGGAGATTGCAGAGTGAGAAGCAACAACACAATTGACAGTCTGTTTTAGTCACTTGCATCATAAGGCCCAATATACTGTTCGTGACATTCAACCCCACTAAGATCCCACAATGATCGATAAACCCTGGTGACACAAAGCGCCACCATTCGGATGAGTCACCCAGATTTTACGAAACCCCCCTCCCCCTTTCCCTACAACAGCCAGGGTGGGGCTTTAAAATGAAAAAAAAAATGCGACCTAATTTGGGGCGGAGTAATGAGCCAGTATACTGCAATGGTAGAGAGAATAACAGCTAACACAGCCACACAAAAAAACTGCATACACTAAAGAATTGAATGGGAGTAGACCACAGATGATAATATATACAAGGAGACCTACGAACTCTGAGTCACCAACTGAAAAAGAGAGCCAGTCACCGAGATGAGTTCTAAATGGGGCTTTTGGGGCCTCTTTGTAAAAGGGAAAGAGGGAGAGACTGAGTCTCTAACAAACATGTTGTAAGTAAACTAATCCGGGGTTTCCAGAGTTGGAGTGCATCTACCTGAAAGGCAAGGGTTAGGGCCAGTTCTAGATGTTTTGGGGTCGTTAAAAGCACCAGAAAGCCGGGAAACCCAGTCTTACCACCCTCTAAAATGTTGAACTGTACTGTGACGTCATCTGGGGTAGGACATTAATAAAGAAACATTGTTTTATTCTGTCTTCACATGTAATGTTTTGTTTTATACGAACAGCCAATCCCAATAGATACCAAGCTGACTCAAGGAATGGCTGGGGATGTTTGGTGTGATGAGTACTGTATACCCAAAAATGGGTGAGTGGACCCTCTCAATGTCATCATCATTGGTATTGCTGTCATCAGTTCCGTTTTTATCATTTTCATTACCATTATTGTCATTATTACCACTTTCATCATCATCATCACTACCACCACTTTCATCATCGTTATCACCATCATAGTTATCACCACCATCATCATCACCATCAAATGCTTGTGACGATTGGCAAGCACAGTTATGCTTCTCTGTATCTTGATATCTGCTGCAGCGTGCATCGGTTCATGACACATTTCCGTATTGCGACACAAGCTCATTGGCTTCTTTTGTTGTTTGCTTCTACCTCTCTCTCCGCCAATGTTTCCACTCATCATCACAGCTGGTTTGTTTTTTCTTTTCATAATTTGGCTGAAAATGTGCCATAAATATGTCATGGGTCCCTTATGACATGCTTGTTAAGGGACATTGGGTCAGTTCTTTTTCCTTCCAGAATGGGGCCACGGAACCCACATTGGGATCTGAGACCACCCACATTGGGACCTGAGACCATCCACATGGGGATCTGAGACCATCCACATGGGGATCTGAGACCATCCACATGGGGATCTGAGACCACCCACATTAAGATCTGAGACCACCCACATGAAGATCTGAGACCACCCACATGAAGATCTGAGACCACCCACATTAAGATCTGAGACCACCCACATGAAGATCTGAGACCACCCACATGGGGATCTGAGACCACCCACATGAAGATCTGAGACCAACCACATTAAGATCTGAGACCACCCACATGAAGATCTGAGACCACCCACATGAAGATCTGAGACCATCCACATGAAGATCTGAGACCACCCACATGGGGATCTGAGACCACCCACATGGGGATCTGAGACCACCCACATGGGGATCTGAGACCACCCACATGGGGATCTGAGACCATCCACATGGGGATCTGAGACCACCCACATGGGGATCTGAGACCATCCACATGGGGATCTGAGACCACCCACATGGGGATCTGAGACCACCCACATGGGGATCTGAGACCACCCACATGGGGATCTGAGACCACCCACATGGGGATCTGAGACCATCCACATGGGGATACTTTGCTGGTTATTGAACCAGAGGAAAGGAGTGTGAAAAATGTCCGGAACACACAGCCTGTCAGCTGTTGGCTCATTGGTGCTGTTGTACACATTTGCAGGTTTATGTTGACGTTGACAAATATCTTTCTTTTGAGTAGCATTTGGACAAGTTCACTGGGTTCTCATATGGAAGATGCAGGTTCCAGTCCTCAGTAAAATGATTGGACTTTTTCTGTCTTCTTCTCCTCTTCTTCTTCTCATCCTCCTTCTTCTTCTTTTTCTTTTTATTCTTCTTTTCCTCCTCTTTTCTTCTTCTTCTTCTTCTTTTTCTTCTCCTTCTTCCTCTTCTTTTCTTCTCTTCCTCCTCCTCTTCCTTCTTCTTCTTCTTCTTCTTTTTCTTCTTTTCTTTTTTTTTCTTCTTTTTCTTCCTTCTTCTTTATTTCCTTTTTTACCGCTTTGGATGGTGGGAGATATAAGGTTATGCTTCTTGTTTTTCTGGCCAACTGGACCATGGACACATCATACGGTGGGAGAGTTTCTCTGATGTTATAATTTGTTTCTGTTAGAGACAACTACCAAAAATACATTCCTAAACCTGCACAGTTTGTGGCGACTGCACTAGCCATGTGACCCTCTAAATCCTCAGCTTAAAAACACCCCCACACCTTTCCCCAACCCACATCACCCTAAAAAGTGGTACACGTAGGCAGTAAAATTTTTTTTTTAACTTTCAATATTTTGAATTAAAAAAAAATTTGTAATCAAAAAACGTTATCTTTCTTTTTCATTAGGGTTGTGCCAACACCTCTGCCCGATGTGCCAGACATACACGGCAACACATGTATAACGTAAGTATCATCATTTGTAAGTCAGGTTAAGAACACAGTTGACAAACTAATCCCAGAGAGAGGCAAACAAAGAAGACAGTTTTTGTTGGCACATGCCTAGCTTTCCAGACGATAGTATTAGATTGCGTTATGAGGAGGCTTGGGACTCACGCAGAGCACGGCGAGTGTGGCCAGCAAGACACGCCCATGTTAAGAAAAGTCTTCCACATTTATAGGGTGGAATTTCACGACCGTTGTTGCCATCACATGTATTTGGTGGGCTTCTTCTCGGGCACTCGGCTGCACAGTGTATTGCTGGACATATTTTGCACACCACTAGCTCCAGATCTAAGGCCGTACAGCTCAAACGGGAATTCCCGTTTTTGTGAGGCTGGCGTGGCCGGTCGGTGGCAACAATTTTTATCGAGTAGATTTATACACAAATTGAACTACAGTTTAATTAATTTGCAAGATGTGTTATTGAATGAATTATTATTTTGAAGATAAATATTTTCTAATAGCCCATTTATTAATCTTCAGAATAATTATTCTTTCAAAAACACATGTTGCATAATTAATCAGACTGTAGTTCAATGTGTGTATAAATCTACTCGATAACAATTGCTACCACCGACCGGCCACGCCAGCCTCACAAAAACAGTAATTCCTGTTTGAGCCTTATATCAGGAGCTGGTGGTGATTTTGCAATGTCTTGTCATGTACAAACTACATTAACAGCTGAATGTAATGAAGCAAATGAATGAATCCTTCTAACTGAAATGCAGTACAGAAAAGTATGACACGAAATAACATGTGAAATCTATTGTTTGTAATTTCTTTGTTCACATTTACAACAGGAAAACGTAGATTTAGGATTTTGAGAAAGAGAAATGTTTTGTTAGGTTAATAGTGTCTTATCTGTTGAATGAATGTTGAATTAAGAATCCACATCACAGCACTCGGGACACTCCCATAAGTGCTCCATCCCCATCTTCAGCAGCAAGCGAAGAGTTCCAATTCTGATGGCACCAGTAGTCGTCCTATTGTTTATCCGTCTCATCCTTCCTCACTGCAAATTGATGCAGTTGGGGGTGACGAGAGGTTCTGGCAGATGCTCGAGGCTCAGAGGAAAGGCAAGACGGACGTTTAATCAGAATGCTGTTGGCACTATTAGTATCGGAACTCTTCGCTGGCTGCTGAAGATGGGGACGGAGCGCTTATGGGAATGCCCTGAGTGCTGTGATGTTGGTTCTTGAATGAAATCAAATCAAATCCTTCCCCTGAGTGTTGAGCGTCAGCCAGATCCCCTGGTTAGTGTCTTATCTGAGCTTGATGTATTTTATTAGTGAATAGTAATCTGGTAATCCTAGTTTCAGCTTCATAGCAAACGGGTCACCCCACAGTTGCTCCGTTCCTGTGCCAACGGGGAAAAAAATGCAGCTCACAGTGTCACGCCATGCACTCAACTCAGAAGCTGGGCGACGAAACTACATCCTTCCAGTCTACAAATGGAGCAAAAATGCAACGGCCACCGTCTGGCAGAAGAAAAAAAAAACACATGCCACCGCTTTAAAAAAAAAAGGTGGCTGTGCTTAGCGTCCATTTTGACCGGAAGCATTATATGAGGGTTAATAAACGGTCACCCCAGCAGGGAATAGTGCTGTGTAGAGGTGCTTAGAGGTTGGTTAGTGCATTTCACAAGCCATATCAGTAGAGGAATTTTTTGGGAAGAGGACGCTGTCATTTACACAGATGGTCTGTTGTTCACTTCATGAGAAGCTCGTGGGCTTTTACGGCTTAGGTTGGAGTTAAAATTGTGAGGCAAGATTCTGGTGCTTTTGCTTTGTATACAAGTAGTCTGACTGAGGAGGTCAAGGCAGCGACCAAAGCAATAACATGGCTGGAGTCACAGACCTTTTCACGTGCAAGCTTTCACACTGACTCAGTGGATATGCTAAGAGATGGGCTGGGTCTGAAGACAGTGATTGGAGTCTTTGAGGCAGTCAGGGCTGGCACATCAGTTTCATATTCGTACCAGGGCATGCAGGTGTGCAAGGAAATGAGCAAGCTGATAGTCTTGCAGGTAAAGCTACCATGGAGGGTGGACGTGCCATGGACCAGCCTGATATACACAATGCTTTATGTGAAGAAAGACTTTTGCAACAAAGTGAATACTGTCAATCTGTAACCATGACCAGATTGCAAGAACGACATGTTAAAAAAGGGGTTAACCCGGCAAGAGCATTATGCAGGAAGCCAAAGGTTTGAGGTTTGAACAAAGGATCAATGTCATAAGTGCCATAAGTGCTCCGTTCTTCTAATTCAAGTCTGAGTCCGAAGAAGCTCAGCGCAGCACACAGGCTCTGTTGCACCGGTGAGGATCCTGAAATACTTTGGGTAGATTTTCAACTCTCAACTTTTGCCCTGGCAGCGCCGTTAGACTACTCTTTTTGATTTCCAACTGCCAAGGGATTTTTTTGCGTGCGCAACAATACACACGGGTGTCTGATCTCACTATCCAATACCGCATGAAAATATCCCAGACCTTACCCGGGATTTAACCCGAAACCTCTAGCCCTCGGGGCAGACAGGAAGCCAAAGAAGAATAACAAACCAACACAGAACAGGTGTAATGTCATCAGCCGCTAAATACTGCAGGATTTGCTGGGGAGGGGATCCGGCACTTATGGACTGAATGGTTCATTTTGCAGTGAGGATGATCTGTTGACTAACTAACTAACATATCAGGGGGTGGGATTTCTCAAGTTGTTTAAAAAAAATTTGGACTTTCTGGCTGTGGTTTATGAATCACACTGCTGGAGAGATTGGGAGCCATGATGTTTTTCCAACGACCACATCTGATCAACTGCAGCCAACCTTCATTGTGGAGACAACACTATTAAACATTTTTTTTTTTAAAGTGTGAGCTTGATGTATATCTTGTTTAGTGAATTTTTTGCAGTGTTGAGTAAAAAGTGTCATTGTATCTGGGTGTTGTTGAGTGAATAGTGTCATTGAATCCGGGTGTTGTGTGTCTTGTTGGGTGAATAATGTCATTGTATTTGGGCGTTGTTGAGTAAAAAGTGTCATTGTTTCCAGGTGTTGTGTCTTTTTGGGTGAAAAATGTCATTGTATTTGAGCGTTGTTGAGTTAAAAAGTGTCATTGGATCCGGGTGTTGTGTGTCTTTTTGGGTGAATAATGTCATTGCATTTGAGCGTTGTTGAGTTAAAAAGTGTCATTGGATCCGGGGGTTGTGCATCTTGTTGGGTGAATAATGCCATTGTATTTGAGCGTTGTTGAGTAAATAGTGTCATTGTATCCGGGTGTTGTGTGTCTTGTTGGGTGAATAATGTCATTGTATTTGAGCATTGTTGAGTAAATAGTGTCATTGTATCCGGGTGTTGTGTGTCTTGTTGGGTGAATAATGTCATTGTATTTGAGCGTTGTTGAGTAAATAGTGTCATTGTATCCGGGTGTTGTGTGTCTTGTTGGGTGAATGTCATTGTATTTGAGCATTGTTGAGTAAAAAGTGTCTTTGTATCCGGGTGTTGTGTGTCTTGTTGAGTGGATAGTGTCATTGTATTTGTGTGTTGTTGACTAAAATGTGTCGTATTTTGGTGTTGTTGAGTGAATAGGGTCACTGTATCAGGGCTTTGTTGGTTTTGTGGGTTTTGTTGATTGAATAGTGTTATTTGTATCTGGGCTTTGGGTGTCTTGTTGATTGAATAGTGTTATTTGTATCTGGGCTTTGGGTGTCTTGTTGATTGAATAGTGTTATTTGTATCTGGGCTTTGGGTGTCTTGTTGATTGAATAGTGTTATTTGTATCTGGGCTTTGGGTGTCTTGTTGATTGAATAGTGTTATTTGTATCTGGGCTTTGGGTGTCTTGTTGATTGAATAGTGTTGTTTGTATCTGGCCTTTGGGTGTCTTGTTGATTGAATAGTGTTGTATCTGGGTGTTGCGTATAATTTTATGAGTAAATAGCACTTTATCAGACACAGACAAAATGTATATATTTATAAGTACTGTGCAACATGTGTCATGCAATACTCTTTGCTGTTCCTCAGAGTGTGCTACCGAGATCTGATCTTTGACCCTGATTTTCTGTTCAAAGCCAAGGTTCTGCCAGGAGCTGTGTAAGTAGTTTCTCATGTGTACTTTCTTCTCTGAATATTGATGTTCTTCCTTCCGATTGATGCACTTTCAGTCATCATATTTTGAATGTTCAGCACTCCTTCATCTGGTTGTTTCGCCTTGCTGTTCCCTTTTTTTTCCCTATTTCTATTTCTTTCTCATAGGGTTGCTGCTGTAATGTTGACTGTAAAATCAGTAATGTCTTAGCTGTTGTCTTTTTGCTTATTGTCTTCTTCCTCTTCCACCTCCTCCTCCTCCCCTCCTCCTCTTCGTTAGATGGCTGTAAGCTCCAGTGGAAAGCCCTGATTATTTGTCTCTTTGGATTTACCCTTTGTCCCAGGGCCTGAGTTTTACGAGCACATTTATTTCGCTGGCTTATTTGTGTGCAGTTGGTAGTTCCTTCCCGCTCGAGCAGATGCACTCCGACTTTGAAGGAAGCTCCCAGTTAGCCAACTCCTGTGACATGTTTGTTGGGGACACAGTGGGCCTGTTCTTGTTTCCCCCCTCCACAATGGTGCCCCAGAACCCACACGGAGAACTTGCTGTTGCAAACTAAAACTCAGGATTTTAGGAGTTTAAGTAATTACAGGCTGGTATCTAAAGAATTCAGTTTATTAAGCACTATTCTGTCTATCTAGAGGATAGTTTTATCCTCAGGGTAATGGTGAGTGGATTGACTTATTGCACCGGGTTCAATCTCATATGGCTCAGTCTCTCTGAGAACTGCTAACTGCCTACCGCGATAATCACACAGAGTACGACCTCCATAGCTCCCGTGATGATCCCCAGGAGTCTACCTAAAAATTGCACTTTGTAAACGGCACTGCCGTGAAGCAAACCCACGACTTTCAGAGCAAGAGGCAAACGACATGACCACTTCACCACGGAGACCCCCCATGTTACAGAGAGTCTTGAATCGCAGTCTGTGGCGAGTGTGAGCAGCAAAACCTGCCTGCGTTGAGAAAAGGCAAACTGACAGGGACTTATAATCCATAACTGCTGTCTCCTGAGTTGTTTCTGAGACTAGTGAAGGCTAGGGATGTTCGTCCTCTCCACAACGCAGAGCCCGGGCAGTATTATAGAGACCTTGTCTTCTAACAGCATTCATTCATAAATGGTCTTCAGAATGTCTCTATTGTCCAGTACAAGTATTCCTGTAGCTATTGCTTTTGTAGTGAAAATATGCACTCTTTTATACCCTCACACACTTGCATCTCCCGGGCAGTATATCTACGTGAGTCCCTGTAATGTTTGCTTGATGATGCGCGGTTCTCCGTGAAGAGAAATACTGTGTGGGCTGCCAGAAATTGCGGAAACCTGGGTTTGAACCAGTGAGCTTTACATCTTCATTCTAATACTGTTTTAAATCAGTGGTTTTGTTACTGAAGGAGTGAAAATAACAATGTGAATTAATGAGTCTGGGGCCGTGGGGAAGGGGGGGGAGGGGGGGGGGAGACAGGAAAAGCACACTCATAAATGGTGACCAGTTAGGTTATTTGCTTCGTAGTTGGAGTGCATCAGCAAAGCCCAGAAGTGAACGAACAACCAGAACATGTTCACCAGCCGGTGAACATGAAGAAGGAGATACAGATTATTGAGTTAAAAATTTAAAAAATTTTTTTTAAATAAGAGAAAGAGGTGTGTATGGTCTTTGTATCAACTAATGAATTATGGTGATTTATGTGGTACTGAAAGAGTGAAGCAAAAAGATAGAAAAGAAGCAGAAAGTAAAACATGCTGTTTAATTGCTCATGTAGCATGCCTCCCCCAACTATCAAGCCTGGAGACTGGAACAACAAGAACCCCAACCAGCGCTACAGACCCCAGCTGGGGTTCCAGCCCAACAGCGGTTACCGTGACAACAAAGATCCTACTGCAGCTCTCAGGATGATCAGGTTAGTCTGGTAGCATGGTTGCTATGTCTTAGTTGGTCTGGCTCATGTGTTTGACTCATCTGCTGCTTCTTCTTCTTCTTCCTCCTCCTCCTCCACCGCTATTGCTGCCGCTTCCTCCTCCTCTTACTCTTCTTTTGCTTCTTCTTCTTCTTCGGCTGCCACCTCCGCCGCTGCTGCTATTTCTATTCCCATCTCATTCGGTACCTTTTTAAAACCTGACACTGAAAAGCAATACAGGGTTAGAGAAGAAGAGGAAGAAGTGTTTAAAGAGTTGCAAGATTCTGCTTCTTTTTCTGCCCCTTCTCTTCTTTCATTTCCTCTGTCCAGAGGTCAACCACGCAAGTGATGGATGGATGGAATTTTTTAGGCTGTAATACCAGGATCTACATAGCGCATATCAAGGCTGTCACTCGATGCTTTTTCAAAATCTGATGCTGAATGGCAGTATAGAGAAGAATGAATGAATGAACGAACAGACAAACTTAATTTCGAAGGGTTAGGAATTGGGCACGCAGTCCTGTTTAACATTTTGCTCTCCCAGTCCAGTCCTTGCATAAAGCTATTTATTCGTACATCATTTTATAGTTAATCATAAGAAAATTTTCGCTTCTCGGTCTTTATTACAAAAGCTGCAATGTGCTGTAATTATGCTTACATTACTGAACTTTTAAAAAAGTATCGTAATAAACCTTATCCAGTAATGTTATAATCCTAATAGGTTGCATGTTATAAACATTGACAACAGTTAAATTTATTTACAAATGCTGGAATGCCCTCGACTGGCATCTTCATTTTTAAACAGTAATAACTTATAGTTTTAAAAAAAAAATAGCTGCGAGGAGTTACCAGGAGATCTGGCTTACAACTGCTGGATCTCTCGCTTGCTGCTGAAGATTGGGGACTGAGCACTTATGGGAGTGTCCTGAGTGCTGTGATGTCGATTCTTAATTCAACATTCAAGTAAAAAGAAAAATAACACATCCAGTGGCAATAAATCATATGCTTAGCAAACTACAATCTGCTAAGGGGAGCATATAGTCTGTAGCGAGATAATATTCCTAGTTTCTGATTGTATGTAAAGGGGTTTGTACCGAAGGAGTTACAGGCTCTGCTTTTTGCTTTTCTGACTGTCTTTCTATAGTCACGTCTTCTGTTGTGAAAATTCTCTGTTTAAAAAAAAAAATATCTAGTTCTTGTTCTAGTTCATGCTCTTCATCCCACTCTTTTGGTGTATGCATTGTATGATAGGATCTTTTTATGATGAGGCTCAGACCTCAAGTCTGTGACGATCCCCATTTTCACAGTCTGGCCCCCTGAGTGGAATAGCCCTGGTGTAGGACATGAGAGCATAAGCCTGTGAATTTAAGGCCACATGGCTAGTGCATTGTCCCAGGGTATGCTGGTGTAAAAGGCAATGAGAGAGCAGACGGGGCTGGCAGTGTGACTATCTGGAATGTGCACTCTGTGGGCAGGCGAGACATCATCAATGCCATACAAGAGACTAAACGCTGTGAGGCTTTCAGTTTTGTGGAAAACGATTTTTCACTGAAAAGACTGCATACCCTGGGTGTACCAGTTGGAGCCGCAAGACAGAAAAGCATGTGGCAGCCACTGATCGTTCCTTCAGCCACAACAGAATGGAAGTTGTTAGCCTAAACCACTTGGAGACATACTAAGGAGGAGATCGGAGCCTAAACCACTTGGAGACATACTAAGGAGGAGATCGGAGCCTAAACCACTTGGAGACATACTAAGGAGGAGATCAGAGCCTAAACCACTTGAAGACATACTAAGGAGGAGATCGGAGCCTAAACCACTTGGAGACATACTAAGGAGGAGATCGGAGCCTAAACCACTTGGAGACATACTAAGGAGGAGATCGGAGCCTAAACCACTTGGAGACATACTAAGGAGGAGATCGGAGCCTAAAACCACTTGGAGACATACTAAGGAGGAGATCGGAGCCTAAACCATGGGAGACATACTAAGGAGGAGATCGGAGCCTAAACCACTTGGAGACATACTAAGGAGGAGATCGGAGCCTAAACCACTTGGAGACATACTAAGGAGGAGATCGGAGCCTAAACCACTTGGATACATACTAAGGAGGAGATCGGAGCCTAAACCACTTGGATACATACTAAGGAGGAGATCGGAGCCTAAACCACTTGGATACATACTAAGGAGGAGATCGGAGCCTAAACCACTTGGATACATACTAAGGAGGAGATCGGAGCCTAAACCACTTGGAGACATAGCCTAACTTGGAGAGGAGATCGGAGCCTAAACCACTTGGAGACACTACTACTAAGGAGGAGATCGGAGCCTAAACCACTTGGAGACATACTAAGGAGGAGATCGGAGCCTAAACCACTTGGAGACATACTAAGGAGGAGATCAGAGCCTAAACCACTTGGATACATACTAAGGAGGAGATCGGAGCCTAAACCACTTGGAGACATACTAAGGAGGAGATCGGAGCCTAAACCACTTGGAGACATAATAAGGAGGAGTGGCGCGGTGATTTAGGTCACAGGCGTGAGGGGAAGTTAAGTCCAACATGATGTGTATAAGGAGATACTCCGTACGTCACTCGGGCGCCAGTCCTTCACTGTTCTGGTTTTATGGAACCTCACGCAAGACCCCAGCAGCACGTCCTCGCCGTGCGCCACGGATAATATCTCAAACGAGCATTAACAGAGCTGTCAGGTGATCTCGGAGTTTGGCGGCCCCCAGAGGTGATGTGTCCTTGTCGACCTCTCATCAGCCCGCCCCCAACCGCTTGGGTGAAAAAGGTTATCAAAAAACTCTTAGGAACATGAGTATGCTTGCCAAAAGTACACTGCTAAAAATCACAACCCTGGTTAAAAAAATGCAGAGTGAAGAGAACAACTGTTACATCCTCTGTTAAACTCTCAGTGTCGTCGTCACCGCGCTGAGGTACACCACAACAGCAAACCATCTCTAGGCTGGCCATCCATGTACATCCTCGTTAACTCTCAGTGTCTTTTGTCTGTGTCGTCACGCGCGCTGAGGTACACCACAACAGATCTCTAGGCTGGCCATCCATGTACATCCTCGGGTTAACTCTCAGTGTCGTCGTCACGCCGCCGAGGTACACCACAACATCAACCATCCAGAGGATGGCCATCCATGTACATCCTCGGTTAACCCTCAGTATCGTCGTCACCGCGCTGAGGTACACCACAACAGCAACCATCAAGAGGATGGCCAGCCATGTACATCCTCGGTTAACCCTTAGTGTCATCACCGTGCTGAGGTACACCACAACAGCAACAGCCCCATTTGGCTAAGGCTAAGCCTACATGTCTGTGTGCCCTCGACGCAAAACTAGATCCTACGGCACACGAGTGGCCTCAAAAATCTGACCTCGACAACAATTTGTACCTGAATCTGAACGGAGGGAACAAAAAAGACCAAATGACCAATGTCCACACCCAAAGACCCCAATCGCCCGAGTGTTGGGACCAAACTGATAACGATATGCCTGACGCAGGATGTAAAATTCTGTCGGGCTAACGGCTCGTCAAAGAAATCTAACGTGCGAAGAAAAAAAAGAATGTGCCTATTCGTGTGGTCACAAAAGTCCAAAATTCAGTCTGCTCCCCGCTGACTTCCAGAGGGCGCAGCTCTTGTCGAGCGGGAAGCCTGATACGGTTGTGAGGTTAAGCAGGCATGTGCAGGACGTGACGATTCCTTGATTGAGCCCAGAACCAGAGCACCATGTGCCGGCTCTGCATACATGGAAGCCTCCTTAGATGGCAGGGAATGCCCATGATCTGCCCCTGCCTTCCCTTGAAGGCTAACTGTTCCACAGGGGGCTGCCTCAAAGGGATACTCCGGGGGCAATACCTGTGAAGAAGGAGACAAAGTGGACTCCACACAAATCAGGCAACGTCTTGACCCACACAAAACAATGGCCACAGTCAACCTAGAAATAGGCCTGACGTCTTCCTTCGAAGTCGGAGTACAGCTGCCCATGAGGCAGGGAACATTAAAACGGTTGTACACGCAAAAATCAGGTCCGGGTGAAAGCCAAAAGTCCAAGCGGACGATTAACCGTGACCTTCCGCCGGAATTCACAGCCGGTGAACGCCCAAAAAAGAAAAAAAACTAAGGAGGAGATCGGAGCCTAAACCACTTGGAGACATGCTAAGGAGGAGATCGGAGCCTAAACCACTTGGAGACATACTAAGGAGGAGATCGGAGCCTAAACCACTTGGAGACATACTAAGGAGGAGATCGGAGCCTAAACCACTTGGAGACATACTAAGGAGGAGATCGGAGCCTAAACCACTTGGAGACATACTAAGGAGGAGATCGGAGCCTAAACCACTTGGATACATACTAAGGAGGAGATCGGAGCCTAAACCACTTGGAGACATACTAAGGAGGAGATCGGAGCCTAAACCACTTGGAGACATACTAAGGAGGAGATCGGAGCCTAAACCACTTGGATACATACTAAGGAGGAGATCGGAGCCCTAAACCACTTGGAGACATACTAAGGAGGAGATCGGAGCCTAAACCACTTGGAGACATACTAAGGAGGAGATCGGAGCCTAAACCACTTGGATACATACTAAGGAGGAGATCGGAGCCTAAACCACTTGGAGACATGCTAAGGAGGAGATCGGAGCCTAAACCACTTGGAGACATACTAAGGAGGAGATCGGAGCACTTATGGTCATGTCTGATGTGCGATCAAGATAATCTCAAAGATGAACAGTGAACAATGGCTAGTGCAGGTTAAGGTTTGTTATGTGGTCCCCGGGCAGAAAACCTCTGTCACTCTACCCAGGATTCAAGCCTGGGTCAGCCAGTCTTTGGCCAAACACAGAACTAAGATATGAAGCTGAACTAAGATGTGAAGCTGAAACTCCTGAAGTTTATTTTCTAGAATCCACATTAGTACTAGAATAATCTTTCTTGTTTCTTTTCAAGGAATGCATCTGGAGGTCCAGGGTTATTGGGCGACCCACTGCAGGACTTGGTTTGCTGGGCGCAGTGCCAGGAAATTTCAACAATTTCCAGCAACGAGGTGCCTCAAACAACAGCAATTTCCAGCGAGGTTTTAACAGTCAAGGTAAGAGTCTTTGTGTTTGTTTATATGTTTGTTGATGGCTGTAGCCATTGTGAAGGTTTGGATTTCACATTTTGGACCCAGAAACATTTAGGGGACTGAGGCCCAAAACCAGGAATTTCAGCAGCTAAATTCCTTACAAAAAATGTTACAAATTTCACTGATAACTGCAAGAAAACATCTATTTGTATAGCATAACAATTCTTTTTTTTAGAAGTATCTGAAGGGAAATAATAATTAAAAATAAATATAATGGCCAGTAACATGGAGTACATTTTCCCTGGGCTTAAAAATATAGTATATAGTGGCTCATGCAGTGACTATGCAATGACTGATTTGAAATTATTAATGACACACACAAAAAAACACAACCCCAAATCCATTCACAATAACTGGCCCTGCTGTACAGGTGGTGCAAGCAAACTGAACCAACAACATTAGCTAGGCTTATCATGGACTGGCCAGTGCAGCAGAGGCCAAATAGTGACTTCTGTGGAGTTTGTACAGGATGCAGTCGAAAGTATGGCTTGTGGGGGGAGGGGGGTGGGGGCGGAGGGGTATATGTAGTTCCAACAGAAGGATGTCCTATTAGATTTCAGTTCAGACCTGTGTGCAGCCTGTGTGTCTCTAGAACTATTAGATCTAAGTTTGCTGCAGATGTAGCGTCTGTGGGTTTGCCAGGAATGTTACGATGTTAGCTCTTAAATAAGTCGATGCAGGGTCAGCTAACCCGCGCAGTACATGCCTGACCAGTTTAGTTTTGATTGTCAAAAGACGCAAATATCGCAGCTATGCATGTACACAAATGCACAGTCCAGTTACACCCACCCATACAGTAATCGAACAAGAAAGAAGAAATAAATCCGAATCACTCGACATCTTTGTCTCAGAAAGTATACTGCCATTTTAACAGAACTTGGTTGGTGTTTCAATTCTTAAAATCCGCTTTGAACGTCTATATATGCTCCACCTTCCCCGTAAGAAAAAAAAAACATTCAACGATCAGTAAAATAATTGTGCTTTTAGTTCTTGTTAATTATAGCAAGCAACATTAAGTAAACAATTTTGAATATTTCATTCTCAACCTGTCTCCCGAGGAAGCTATTTTTCTGGCATTTACGTTTCGTGTGTGTGTTTGACAGGAAGTTTTTGAGGGAGTGGCCTCGTTGCCTGTATAATACAGCCTGGTACTGGTTGCAACTGCATAGTGTGTAGTCATAGTGGGGTATTATTTACTTGAAGAAATATATATCTGTGTGTGTGCGTGTGCATGCATGCGTGCGTGCGTTAAATATTTCCTGTGAAACAAAAAAAGACACATTTTAAACAAATTTGTTGCGCAGTATATTCTCATTATCTCACTTTGCTCAGCACGGCTAAGTCAACAAAACCATGTTCATTAGAGTAGAGGAAAGCAGTTATATATACAAAAAAATTACCTTTACCCACAATAGTGGGTTGAAGTGGGTAAAGAAAAATATATAAATCACTAGTTTTTATGCACTTGACGGCTGTGAAGAAACTATCGGCTTCACGCTTGCACGTCTGTTCAGTGGTCTGGGGGTTGAACATGCTGGATGTTTGTTTTTTTTTTTTTTAAACTGACAGAGACTTCTAGATTTTCTCTGCTCTTCTTTCTCTTCTTTGTAGAGTTACCTAGAATTATAAGGACACACTTCTTGATCACAAAATTTCAGAAAGGGTAATTAAAAAAAAATTCTTGGGTGTTGAATCAAGAGTCGACATCACAGCCCTTGGGACACCTCCATAAGGGCTCCATCCCCATCTTCATCAGCAGACAAAGAGTGGTACCAGTAACTCCTCCCAGCACCATTCTCCCCGGACCGTAATAACTATCTGTGCCTCCACGCTGTTCAATCGCTCCCAAAGAGCCCTCACAACATCCAGCTTGTCATGCATCAGTTTACCACCAAGCAGTGCAGAACCGGCCAGTCTATCTGCCTGCTTATTTCCCAACACAAAAACTCTCACAGGGTGAAATGGTTAATGTGAAGTCTCTACTGCTATCTGGAGCAGAAACACAGGTAATGACCTATACAGTTACTAATAAATTCAACAAGTAATGACTCTTACGTCTAGTGATTCAGCCATGTAGTTACAATTTAAAAATTAGTTGCATATCATTCATAGGACATTGCACAACCAAACTCATCTTTCCAACTCCTTGCAGCACCATTTTTCTCAGACTGTGATGATCTGTTTGTATCTCTGTGCTGTTCCCCGGACTCTCTAGCGTAGTTGGCTAAACCAGATTGCGCGGAGACCGGGTGACGAACTCCTCGTGGTCCGGGTTCAATCCCGGGGGTAGGCAAGAAAGCCACATTTCTCCCAGATTTACGATATTTACAATGGAATCAAGGCCGAAAGATTGCGTATTACCGAGCCTAAAGGTTAACAACTCATGGCTTCTGGAAACTAAAACAAACAAACAAACTCTGTGCTGTTCCCTTAAATCATCATCCGTGTCATGCATCAATTTATTGTATTGTATTAAATGGTGTGACAGAGTCACTAACTTGTGTTGTGGTTTACAGCTAGGCTGCTAAATCTGCATCTTACTGTATAACACATGTGATGCCAACGAACCCATATTTAGTTGCCTTTTTATAATATGTATGATGGGGAAGAGGGACAGTGGATCTGTCTTCCCTCAATCTCCCCAAAAATGGGGCCCTTGTGTTCGGTCATTGGGGCTTTGCATTTGGCCCAGCCTATACAAATGGGAGCTAGACAATTTCAGAATTTGTGTGTGTGCAAATTATCTTTGAAGGAATTGTCATGAGGAAGGTAACTGGCTACACCACTTCATATGCCATGAGCTAGAACAGTGGTTTTCAGGTTTTATTTCAAGTGTGGTCCTGTTGAAGATATAGCAAGACACCCCAACTCCCCTTTTCCCCCCATTTCTCCCCAACTTGAAAAAAAAAATATGTGGAAAAAATAGAAAGACAAAAAGAAAATCCCAAGCCTATTAACCACATAAATGACAGTATGAAATAAAAGAAGCAGCCACAAGCAGCTGTGAATCTGGTGTCTAAATATCAACATGATGGTTGCCTCTGTTTTGTCTCAATGATATCTGCTATTGTTAATTTGATATTGGATAAGGCATAACAGAGATGATCACTTTCCACAACATGAAAGCACACATTTCCTTTGCTTCATGGTTTAAAAATAAATTAAACTAATATTTTCTTTAAAATTAAACTGAAAAAGAGAAAAGAAGTTAGTATTACCGATTGTTACAGGTACAATTGCACTCAGATTAAACTTGCTCTCCCCCCCCCCCCCCGCCCCCCCCACCCCTTTTCCCCCCACTATGACGTAATATGGAGGATGGGAAGAATAAAGTGTGTGTGATGGCAGTCGTCACTCCCTAGGAACAATTGAGTTGTGCCACTTATTTTGGGCACAGAGTCTGCTGTCACTGCAGGAAAAGTAGTCCAGGGCACAGGCTTGGACGCATTAGGTTGTTGCCCAGGAAGCAGGTACCCATTCCTCTACGGAAAAGCCGGGTGAAGGGCTACCAGTATAGCTTGACACCAAAGACACTGCAAGTATTCTTAAAAGCAGTGTAAGACCGCTGAACCGACCTAGGGATTCCGAATCTTCTCAGGGCTTCCTCCCAAAGTGTTTTTCATAATCAGGATATTACCACTAGGCAGCGTGGTTTGAGAATCAGAGTTGTCCTAGATCATGGGCTCTCAACCTTCCCAATGCTGCAACCCTTTGATACAGTTTCTCACGTTGTGGACCCCCCCCCCACCATAACAATTTTGTCGTTGCTACTTCATAACTTCAATGAATATGTGTTTTCCAATGATCTTAGGCAACCCCTGTGAAAGGGTTTCGACTGACACGTTGAGAACCGCTGTCCTAGATAAGCTGCATTCCTGTGAAGTAGAATTATGAGTATAGTAAATTATAAGACCAGTAGGTCTCCCATTTTCCTTGGCTGTATCTAACTACACACCTGCCTCTGTTCACACTTACCTCTCTCCACACCTGCCTCTCTCCACACCTCTGCCTTTCTTTACACTTGCCTCTCTCAGCATCTGCCTATCTTCACACCTGCCTCTTTTACACCTGCCTCTGTTCACACCTGCCTTTCTTTACACCTGCCTCTCTTCACACCTGCCTTTCTTCACACCTGCCTCTCTTCACACCTGCCTCTCTTTACACCTGCTTCTCTTTGTACCTGCCTCTCTTTGCACCTGCCTCTCTTTGCACCAGCCTCTCTTTGCACCTGCCTCTCTTTGCACCTGCCTCTCTTCACACCTGCCTCTCTTTGCACCTGCCTCTCTCTACACCTGCCTCTCTTCACACCTGCCTCTCTTCTGCCTCTCTTCACACCTGCCTCTCTCTACACCTGCCTCTCTTCACATCTGCCTCTCTTTGCACCTGCCTCTCTTTGCACCTGCCTCTCTTCACACCTGCCTCTCTTCACACCTGCCTCTCTTTGCACCTGCCTCTCTTCACACCTGCCTCTCTCTACACCTGCCTCTCTTACAACCTGCCTCTCTGCACCTGCCTCTCTTTGCACCTGCCTCTCTCTACATTTGCTTCTCTTCACACTTGCCTCTCTCTACACCTGCCTCTCTCTACACCTGCCTCTCTCTACACCTGCCTCTCTCTACAACTGCCTCTCTCTACACCTGCCTCTCTCCACACCTGCCTCTCTCCACACCTGCCTCTCTCTGCACCTGCCTCTCTCTGCACCTGCCTCTCTCTGCACCTGCCTCTCTTCGCACCTGCCTCTCTTCACACCTGCCTCTCTTCGCACCTGCCTCTCTTCACACCTGCCGATATGCAAGATATTTTGCTTTTGAGCAGAGCTTCTTCCTAGAATTAAAGTTCTTCTTCGTTTCCTCTTTTAGGGCCATGGGCGTCGAGGGGGATATAAGGTTTTGCTTCTGACCCTCTCGACCACAGATACATACTGCTGCTGTCTTTCCATCTTGTTGTACGGCTTGTATGGCATA